TACTGGGAATACGTAGATGAGGCCAGGGTTGGGTCAAGCTGCATTGTGTGTCGTGGCTGTTTTGTTGTTCAATGCATACAGAGGTAGGACCTGTTCTGCTATGGGGCCCCGAAACCCTGACGATAATTTGGATTTTTTTTCCTCAAAAACAGCTACGCACAGCCAGGGGCGGACTGACCATATGGAAACTCGGGCACTGCCCGTGGGCCCGGGGTCAGTAGGGGGCCCCATGAGATGCCTCTGGTATCTTTTTCATAGGCTTTTTTGAGTTTGGGCAAGGACACAGGGGCCCCATGATCCCCTATTGCCCGGGGGCCCCATGAGTTGTCAGTCCGCCCCTGCGCACAGCGCAATAGCCGTGAAGGTATGCGGACCGGCAGCCAAAAATCGTTTTTTTTTAAGTTTTGGATAGTGTGGAAGGGTCAGAGCCTCTGTCAGGTTTTTATCGGGTGAATCTCTGCTGGGAACCCAGTGACCCCCTTTGAGGCTTCATTCACACCAGGATGGTTGGACCGGCTGAGTGCGCTTTTTTTGTGCGTTTCCATCCATCGTATTTAGGACAGCCCATTACATGGCCGCCATGGAAGTCCGACCGGCTGAGTGCGCTTTTTTGTATGTCTCCGCCCATTGTATTTAGGACAGCCCATTACATGGCCGCCATGGAAGTCCGACCGGCTGAGTGCGCTTTTTTGTATGTCTCCGCCCATTGTATTTAGGACAGCCCATTACATGGCCGCCATAGAAGTCCGACCGGCTGAGTGCGCTTTTTTGTATGTCTCCGCCCATTGTATTTAGGACAGCCCATTACATGGCCGACATGGAAGTCCGACCGGCTGAGTGCGCTTTTTTGTATGTTTCCGCCCATTGTATTTAGGACAGCCCATTACATGGCCGCCATGGAAGTCCGACCGGCTGAGTGCGCTTTTTTGTATGTCTCCGCCCATTGTATTTAGGACAGCCCATTAGATGGCCGCCATGGAAGTCCGACCGGCTGAGTGCGCTTTTTTGTGTGTTTCCGTCCATCGTATTTATGGCAGCGCATTACTTGGCCGCCATGGAGGTTTGACCGGCTGAGTGTGCTTTTTTGTATGTCTCCGCCCATCGTATTTAGGACAGCCCATTACATGGCCGCCATGGAAGCCCGACCGGCTCAGTGCGCTTTTTTGTATGTCTCCGCCCATCGTATTTAGGACAGCCCATTACATGGCCGCCATGGAAGTCCGACCGGCTCAGTGCGCTTTTTTGTATGTCTCCGCCCATTGTATTTAAGGCAGCCCATAATAGTGCTGCCCTATGTGCAATAAATGCGCACAAAAGGTTCCAACACCAATATAAAAAAACAAGCCGCACCTACTGCGGTACCATGCGTTTTGGTGTGTGCGTTTGCGGGATGCTTGGGGGTGACCTTAAGAATTAGGCCGCATTCACACTTGGCGGTTCCAGAACTCATGCATTGTGGAAAAACATTGCAAACGGTCACGCTTAGCAGACGCGCATTTTGTCGTGCTACAAATGCGCCAAAACAAGCGTTAACAAGTGCCATACTTGAAAAGGCTCTTTGGCACATTTGTCGCGTGACGGCAGTGACTGGGCTGCCCTATACGCCAACGTGCGGAAATGTGCTGAAATGTGCAAAAAATGTGAGCAGGAACGCAGGTGTAGGTGGGGGCCATAATGAGCGCATTTTGTGCGATGCGGAAAAGCTTTTGCGCACGTGGTAGCAGTGCACTGGTGTGCATGAAGCCTTAAACAGGAAATGATGGGAAATCCGAAATGTTACAGTTGTCACCGAAACAGGAAGTGAGGAGGGGATCCTCCAATGGAAATGCCTGTTTTGGTAACTGCTCTCATTGGTGGGAGTGTCCCTTGCTTTGGGGAGACTTCCACATAATTCCTGTCACATTTCAAGGACAGGAAGTGTAGGAAAATCCCCCAATGTGGACACAGCCAGCAATAAAAATCTTCTAACCCCTCTATCCAAAACAAAAAAAAAAATGTTTGAACCGGTGTTCTACTTTTTTTTTTTTTTTGCTAACCCCGCCCTCCGAGGAATACACAGGCTGCCATTGATGAAACGCCTGAAAGTGTTGTCATGCCAATTCTCCTACCATCAATGAGCCAGGTGATTGGCATTTTCAGAAGCAGACCAACAATGAAAGCAAACACATTTTCGTTTCGATTTTTTTTTTTTTTTTTAAAGTGACCTGGCGACACCTCGCCAAATCCGCTCATTGGCAGCCTGCAAAATAATGATTTTATTGCTCAGCCTTCTGGACTGCTTCCTGACACTTCCAGGTGTGTCGAATATCATGGTCCCGATGGTTTCACAGCTGACCACTACATCATTGTGTGTCATGAGAGCCGATGGGTGACAACACAAATGGGGACGCACCGTCCAACGCACTGGGAAGTGTAGAATAGAAGTGTGGTAATTGGAATGGTAAGGTTTAAAGCTGAAGTTCAGCACCAGTCCCGATTGGATAATCTATCCTCACCACCAGTCCCCATTGGATAATCTATCCTCACCACCAGTCCCCATTGGAATATCTATCCTCACCACCAGTCCCCATTGGATAATCTATCCTCACCACCAGTCCCCATTGGAATATCTATCCTCACCACCAGTCCCCATTGGATAATCTATCCTCACCACCAGTCCCCATTGGAAAATCTATCCTCACCACCGTACCCATTGGAATATCTATCCTCACCACCAGTCCCCATTGGATAATCTATCCTCACCACCAGTCCCCATTGGATAATCTATCCTCACCACCAGTCCCCATTGGAAAATCTATCCTCACCACCGGTACCCATTGGATAATCTATCCTCATGACCAGTTCCCCATGGATAATCTATCCTCACCATCGGTTCCCATTGGGTAATCTATCCTCACCACCAGTCCCCATTGGATAATCTATCCTCACCACCAGTCCCCATTGGATAATCTATCCTCACCACCAGTCCCCATTGGATAATCTATCCTCACCACCAGTCCCCATTGGATAATCTATCCTCACCACCAGTCCCCATTGGAATATCTATCCTCACCACCAGTCCCCATTGGATAATCTATCCTCACCACCAGTCCCCATTGGATAATCTATCCTCACCACCAGTCCCCATTGGAAAATCTATCCTCACCACCGGTACCCATTGGATAATCTATCCTCATGACCAGTTCCCCATGGATAATCTATCCTCACCATCGGTTCCCATTGGGTAATCTATCCTCACCACCGGTCCCCATTGGAAAATCTATCCTTACCACCAGTCCCCATTGGATAATCTATCCTCACCACCGGTTCCCATTGGATAATCTATCCTCACCACCGGTCCCCATTGGAAAATCTATCCTCACCACCGGTTCCCATTGGAAAATCTATCCTCACCACCGATTCCCATTGGAAAATCTATCCTCACCACCGGTTCCCATTGGAAAATCTATCCTCACCACTGGTTCCCATTGGAAAATCTATCCTTACCACCGGTCCCCATTGGATAATCTATCCTCACCACCGGTCCCCATTGGATAATCTATCCTCACCACCGGCCCCCATTGAATAATGTATCCTCACCACCAGTTCCAATTGGATCGCCTATCCTCACCACCAGTTCCAATTGGATCGCCTATCCTCACCACCAGTTCCAATTGGATCGCCTATCCTCACCACCAGTTCCAATTGGATCGCCTATCCTCACCACCAGTTCCAATTGGATCGCCTATCCTCACCACCAGTTCCAATTGGATAGTCTATCCTCACCACCAGTCCCCATTGGATAATCTAGCCTCAACCCACGTTCTGGTGACAACCATACGTATACGATTGGATTTCTCACCAGGACAAACCATGGGGGGTGAATCTCCCCAATGGGGACACAGACAGCATTCCTTTCCTATTTTATCAAAAATAAGAAGAACATTTGTTGGGTGTCCTTCAAGAATTCTGCTTTTGCAGGCTGCCGATGAGTCCATTTTTTTTTCTGGTCACTTTAATGTCTATTTAATTCTTTTTTTAATCCAATTTATTGTAAACCAATTTCTATTTAATTCTTTCATTTAGTTGAATTTAATTTAGATGAATCCCTATTTAATTCTATTTAAACGGTCCCTTTAATCTGTCGTAGATACAGTCCCTGCCACATGGCAGAGGCCACAGCCAAGAGGGAGGGGGTTTATATAAAGCTCCCCACCTAACACCCAGCATTGGTCAGTGACCGTCCAATAGCAGCAGCTTAAATTCGCATCGTACGTAAATCTTGCAGAAAATACAAAGGTTTGAGCCCTCCGCAGAAACAGGCGACCAGTGCAGGTCGATAGAAAAAAAAAATTAGCAAAATTTTGAAAAGAAAAATTGTCTTGCAAAATTGATTCCATAGTCGAGTGGACCCTCTACAGGAGAGCCCCCGTATTTGGGTCTGTAGTCACTGACCCCCAATAAATTTTCTCCCTTGTGCGTTTCTTCTGTACCAGCATTGAATGTCTAAGGTACGGTCGTCTAAAATGAAGGTGGGTGATGGGTAAGAATCCAAGGGTGGTGACCACCATTGGTCAACAGCCTTCTACTCCTGCAGGATCGCCAGCACAGCAGCACCCCCGATGAAGGGAAAGGCCGCGGCCATGATTGAATAAGTTGGATATAGGATGGAAGTCCCATTACAGGCACTCCATACCTGCACTGACCTCCTCTGTGCAATACTGACGCAGGCCGTCTCGCTTTCTTAGTGCCGGCACTCCACCATGTGAGCAGCCTGAAGTACATTTGTCCTGTTCCCCTTGTTACAGTCACAGAGGGGCAAGTTAGAGTCATAATACCTGTCGTAGGGTCAGGAGTGAGGAGCATACCCTCCAGAATACGGATCCCATACTGATTTCTTGATACTGGTGGAAGGAAGTCATTTCTGAACCTCAAAAGGTTCCATCAAAAGGTCCCATCAATGCCCGGTCAGACTCCGGGCCCGCTTCTTGGCTGTACTGCTATGTACCAATGACCACCGCTTAGTATTTCCGAACCTTCATCTCTTTGCCAGTGACACCGGCAGCATTGGAGTTGACATAGTGGAATCGTGGACGCTGGTTGGAGGTTTGCTTCTTTGTGTTGACTGGAGGGTTGGGCTGGGATCCTGTAGCCTGGTGGTCCGTCTGTTTCACTGTTCCTGTATAGATTGAGAAGAGAACAATGTGAGTTGTTGGGCTTTCGTAGACCTATTAGCCAAGGCAACAGCGCAGTAAGTCACCAATGGGCTGTCTGTTACAAATGGGGAAAGGCACTGGTGGGGTTACCACTTCTATAGAGCCTGGGGCAGGAAGGGGTTTGGTTGAGGGACAGGAGGTATGTGAGTAGAGCTGGTGCCTCCATACTTGAAGTGGCCTGGAACATAACGATACTGCAAAGTGAATTCTTATTAGTTGGTTTGTCTAGGACAGTGGTCTTCAAACAGTAGCCCTTTTCAGTGGGGCAATGTTCCTCCAACTGACACCATCAATGGGGCACTATTCCTCCCACTGACACCAACGTTCAGAGTTGATTTCTCCTTCTGATACCAGTGATGGGGCACTTTTTATCTCACTGACACCAACAATGTGGAACTATTGCTCCCACTAGCATCAATGATGGGGCACTATTCCTCCCACTGACACCAACGATGGGGCACTATTCCTCCCACTGACACCAATAATGAGGCACTATTCCTCTCATGGACACCAATGATGGGGCACTATTCCTCCCAATGACACCAATGATGGAGCACTATTCCTCTCACTGACACCAATGATGGGACACTATTCCTCCCACTTACACCAATGATGGGACACTATTCCTCCCACTGACACCAATGATGGGGCACTATTCCTCCCACTGACACCAATGATGGGGCATTATTCCTCCCACTGACACCAATGATCGTGCAATATTCCTACCACTGACACCAGTGATGGGGCACTATTCCTCCCACTGACACCAGTGATGGGGCACTATTCCTCCCACTGACACCAATGATCGTGCAATATTCCTACCACTGACACCAATGATGGGGCACTATTCCTCCCAATGACACCAATGATGGGGCTCTATTCCTCCCACTGATACCAATGATGGGGCACTATTCCTCCCACTGACACCAATGATGGGGCACTATTCCTCCCACTGACACCAATGATGGGGCACTATTCCTCCCACTGACACCAATGATGGGGCACTATTCCTCCCACTGACACCAATGATGGGACACTATTCCTCCCACTGACACCAATGATGGGGCACTATTCCTCCCACTGACACCAGTGAAGAGCATTGTTCACTACCACTGGCCACAGTCTGCCCCCCCCCCCCTAAGAAAAACAAAACTGGCCCTTTATTTAGAAATTTAGAAAGTTTGGCACCCCCTGGTCTAGAATGTCTGCATCCTAACTGAATTTGTTAAGGCGCTCTGTATCATCAACAATTGCTGAGTTATGACAATGAAAGGAGAGGCAACAGAATTACAGTCACAGCCAAAAATCTGCCCCCCCCCCCCCCCCTGCATTTCTGTCAGATAACGCACCACTTCACCCAGAAATTTGTTTCAGTAACAAATGTTTCGGTATTGTTGTGTTTCTTTCTTTGGCTTGTATCGGTGACACAAAAAAGTGGAGAAACAAAAAGCCAAATCTGACCCATTCCGTCCAAAACCCCAAAAATGGACAAAATTATTGGCACCTTCCATGTAATATTCGGTGGCACACCCCTTGGAAAGAATACCTGAAATCAAAGGCTTCCTGTCACCATCAATGAGTTTCCTCCACCTCTCTGCTGGAATTTTGGATCGCTCTTCTTCCACCAACTGCTCCAGGTCTCTCGGATTGGAAGGGTTCCTTTCCCCAACTGCTCCGGGTCCCTCAGATTGGAAGGGTTCCTTTCCCCAACTGCTCCGGGTCCCTCAGATTGGAAGGTTCCTTTCCCCAACTGCTGGTCTGAGATCTCTCCACAGGAGCTCTATGGGATGGAGATCTGGACTCATTGCTGGCCAGTTCAGTCTTCTCCAGCGCTTTGTCTGACACCATTTCTGGGGGCTTTGTGACGTGTGCTTTGGGTCATTGTCCTGCTGGAAGACCCCTGACCTCTGACATTGCAGACCCAACTTTCTGACACCGGGCCCTACATTGCCCCCCAGAATTCTTTGGTAGTCTTCAGATTTCATAATGCCATCCACACGGCCAAGACATCCAGTGCCTGAAGCAGCAATGCAACCCCAAAACATCAGTGACCCCCCACCATGTGTGACTGGAGGGACTGTGACCCCCCCACCATGTGTGACTGGAGGGACTGGATTCTCTTCTGTAAAGGCCTCATTGCTTTTTCTGAAAACAGCAGAATGATGGGCTTTACCAAAAAGCTGGAATATTGTTTTGTCTGTCCACAGCACATTCTCCCAGAAGGGTTTTGGCTTCCTGAGGTACGTTTTGGCAAACTCCAATCTGGCTTCCAATATGTTTCTGTGTCAGCGGTGGGGTCCTCCTGGGTCTCCTCCCATATTTCTGTGTCAGCGGTGGGGTCCTCCTGGGTCTCCTCCCATATTTCTGTGTCAGCGGTGGGGTCCTCCTGGGTCTCCTCCCATATTTCTGTGTCAGCAATGGGGTCCTCCTGGGTCTCCTCCCATATTTCTGTGTCAGCAATGGGGTCCTCCTGGGTCTCCTCCCATATTTCTGTATCAGTAGTGGGGTCCTCCTGGGTCTCCTCCCATATTTCTGTATCAGTAGTGGGGTCCTCCTGGGTCTCCTCCCATATTTCTGTGTCAGCGGTGGGGTCCTCCTGGGTCTCCTCCCATATTTCTGTGTCAGCGGTGGGGTCCTCCTGGGTCTCCTCCCATATTTCTGTGTCAGCGGTGGGGCCCTCCTGGGTCTCCTACCATATTTCTGTGTCAGCAGTGGGGTCCTCCTGGGTCTCCCACCATATTTCTGTGTCAGCAGTGGGGTCCTCCTGGGTCTCCTCCCATATTTCTGTGTCAGCGGTGGGTTCCTCCTGGGTCTCCTCCCATATTTCTGTGTCAGCGGGGGTCCTCCTGGGTCTCCCACCATATTTCTGTGTCAGCAGTGGGGTCCTCCTGGGTCTCCCACCATATTTCTGTGTCAGCGGTGGGGTCCTCCTGGGTCTCCTCCAATATTTCTGTGTCAGCGCTGGGGTCCTCCTGGATCTCCTCCCATATTTCTGTGTCAGCGGTGGGGTCCTCCTGGGTCTCCCTCCCATATTTCTGTGTCAGCAGTGGGGTCCTCCTGGGTCTCCTCCCATATTTCTGTGTCAGCGGTGGGGCCCTCCTGGGTCTCCTCCCATATTTCTGTGTCAGCAATGGGGTCCTCCTGGGTCTCCTCCCATATTTCTGTGTCAGCAATGGGGTCCTCCTGGGTCTCCTCCCATATTTCTGTGTCAGCAGTGGGGTCCTCCTGGGTCTCCTACCATATTTCTGTGTCAGCGGTGGGGTCCTCCTGGGTCTCCCACCATATTTCTGTGTCAGCAGTGGGGTCCTCCTGGGTCTCCTCCCATATTTCTGTGTCAGCAGTGGGGTCCTCCTGGGTCTCCTCCCATATTTCTGTGTCAGCGGTGGGGTCCTCCTGGGTCTCCTCCCATATTTCTGTGTCAGCAATGGGGTCCTCCTGGGTCTCCTCCCATATTTCTGTGTCAGCAATGGGGTCCTCCTGGGTCTCCTCCCATATTTCTGTGTCAGCAGTGGGGTCCTCCTGGATCTCCTCCCATATTTCTGTGTCAGCGGTGGGGTCCTCCTGGGTCTCCTCCCATATTTCTGTGTCAGCAATGGGGTCCTCCTGGGTCTCCTCCAATATTTCTGTGTCAGCAATGGGGTCCTCCTGGGTCTCCTCCCATATTTCTGTGTCAGCAGTGGGGTCCTCCTGGGTCTCCTACCATATTTCTGTGTCAGCGGTGGGGTCCTCCTGGGTCTCCTCCCATATTTCTGTGTCAGCAATGGGGTCCTCCTGGGTCTCCTCCCATATTTCTGTATCAGTAGTGGGGTCCTCCTGGGTCTCCTCCCATATTTCTGTATCAGTAGTGGGGTCCTCCTGGGTCTCCTCCCATATTTCTGTGTCAGCGGTGGGGTCCTCCTGGGTCTCCTCCCATATTTCTGTGTCAGCGGTGGGGTCCTCCTGGGTCTCCTCCCATATTTCTGTGTCAGCGGTGGGGCCCTCCTGGGTCTCCTACCATATTTCTGTGTCAGCGGTGGGGTCCTCCTGGGTCTCCCACCATATTTCTGTGTCAGCGGTGGGGTCCTCCTGGGTCTCCTCCAATATTTCTGTGTCAGCGCTGGGGTCCTCCTGGATCTCCTCCCATATTTCTGTGTCAGCGGTGGGGTCCTCCTGGGTCTCCTCCCATATTTCTGTGTCAGCAGTGGGGTCCTCCTGGGTCTCCTCCCATATTTCTGTGTCAGCAGTGGGGTCCTCCTGGGTCTCCTCCCATATTTCTGTGTCGGAGGTGGGGTCCTCCTGGGTCTCCTCCCATATTTCTGTGTCAGCGGTGGGGCCCTCCTGGGTCTCCCACCATATTTCTGTGTCAGCAGTGGGGTCCTCCTGGGTCTCCTCCCATATTTCTGTGTCAGCGGTGGGGTCCTCCTGGGTCTCCTCCCATATTTCTGTGTCAGCAGTGGGGTCCTCCTGGGTCTCCTCCCATATTTCTGTGTCAGCGGTGGGGTCCTCCTGGGTCTCCCACCATATTTCTGTGTCAGCAGTGGGGTCCTCCTGGGTCTCCTCCCATATTTCTGTGTCAGCAGTGGGGTCCTCCTGGGTCTCCTCCCATATTTCTGTGTCAGCAGTGGGGTCCTCCTGGGTCTCCTCCCATATTTCTGTGTCGGAGGTGGGGTCCTCCTGGGTCTCCTCCCATATTTCTGTGTCAGCGGTGGGGCCCTCCCTGGGTCTCCTCCCATATTTCTGTGTCAGCGGTGGGCCCCTCCTGGGTCTCCTCCCATATTTCTGTGTCAGCGATGGGGTCCTCCTGGGTCTCCTCCCATATTTCTGTGTCAGCGGTGGGGTCCTCTTGGGTCTCACACCATATTTCTGTGTCAGCGGTGGGGTCCTCCTGGGTCTCCTCCCATATTTCTGTGTCAGCGGTGGGGTCCTCCTGGGTCTCCTCCCATATTTCTGTGTCAGCGATGGGGTCCTCCTGGGTCTCCTCCCATATTTCTGTGTCAGCGGTGGGGTCCTCCTGGGTCTCCTCCCATATTTCTGTGTCAGCAGTGGGGTCCTCCTGGGTCTCCCCCCATATTTCTGTGTCAGCGGTGGGGTCCTCCTGGGTCTCCCACCATATTTCTGTGTCTGCGATGGGGTCCTCCTGGGTCTCCTCCCATATTTCTGTGTCTGCGATGGGGTCCTCCTGGGTCTCCTCCCATAGCGCCCCTCTTCATTCAGATGGTGACGTATAGTGGGAGGGGACACAGTTGTACCCGGTGCCTGAAGGTCGGCTTGGATTTGTCTGGAAGTTGATGGAGGTTCTTCTTCCACCAATCCTTCGTTGCAATCTTTGATCAGTTTTTCTCTTTCGTCCACATCCAGGGAGATCAGCTACAGTGTCATGGGCTGGAAATGTCTTGACAATGTTGCGCACAGTGGACACAGGAACATGGAGATCTCTGGAGATGGACTTGTCACCTTGAGGTTGTCCATCATTTCCACCATTTTTGTTCTCCAATCCTCAGACAATTCTTTGCTGCTCTTCCTCTCCTCCATGTGACCCACAGAGACACCAACAGGAAGGTGGAGGCCATTTGTCACCATTGTCCCCGGTTGCCGGTGATTTCGGTTGTCAGCGCCCGGTCATGGATATGGGGGGGGGGGGGGGAGATTAATGACAAATTACAGGAGCGTCACAGACTTGGAATGCAATTATTTCTTACAATTTTGAGAAGGTGCCAATAATTTTGTCCATTTTTGGGGTTCTCCGTGGAATGGGTCAGATTTGGCTTTTTGTTTCTTTGCTTTTTTGTGTCACCGATACAAACCAAAGAAAGAAACGAGAACGCCGAAACATTTGTCATCGCAGCGATTTTCTGGGTGAAGGGGGGCGTTATCGGACAGAAATGGGGGGGGGGGTAAGATTTTTAGCCATGACTGTAGAAGATTCACATTCTCCTCGCAATGCAACACAGCTGACCTGCCTTGTGTGCTGCTTCTCCCTCCCCCAGTCTGAGTTCTGCTGTACTGCAGGAGGCGGGTTCCAGGTCCCAGTTTGCATTTACACCGAATACATTTCATGATGAATCGATGATTACAGAGCCGAATTATCTCTGACATCTGCCTGGAGTCCACTCACCCGTCTGGTTCTGCGGAAGTTTGACCTGTGCGATCGGCAGGACGACCTTCCCCGGCCGCCGCGCCCGTTTCCTCCCGGAGGGCCGTTCGCCTGGATCTTGTGCTCAGAATTGCTTTCCAGGATTCTGTTCCGGGAAGGATGGTTCTTCGGTCTGATCAGCTGCAGAAAGATGTGAGATCGTCTGTGAAAAGGGGGGATGGAGGCAGAGCCTGACTTCATTATGTGTCCCAGACCCTCCGGATGCAATCTCCATAATATAAACTAAGAATAAAACCCAACACAGGGATGGTGGGAACCCCTCATAACGGGCACAGTGGATGTACAGACCCGGGAACTCTCACAGGGATGGCGGGAACCCCTCATAATGGGCACAGCAGGTGTACAGACCCGGGAACTCTCACAGGGATGGTGGGAACCCCTCATAATGGGCACAGCGGGACTACAGACCCGGGAACTCTCACAGGGATGGTGGGAACCCCTCATAATGGGCACAGGGATGGTGGGAACCCCTCAGAATGGGCACAGGGATGGTGGGAACCCCTCATAACGGGCACAGCGGGGGTACAGACCCGGGAACTCAGCACAGGGATGGTGGGAACCCCTCATAATGGGCACAGCGGGGCAACAGACCCGGGAACCCGGCACAGGGATGGTGGGAACCCCTCATAATGGGGACAGCGGGGGTACAGACCTGAGAACTCGGCACAGGGATGGTGGGCACCCCTCATAATGGGGACAGCGGGGGTACAGACCTGAGAACTCGGCACAGGGATGGTGGGAACCCCTCATAATGGGGACAGCGGGGGTACAGACCTGAGAACTCGGCACAGGGATGGTGGGAATATGTGAGTTCCTTGAACGAGCTCATTTTTGAATGGCAACTTACACCTGAAAATGCTTGTTCCCTGGCTGTCTCTAAGACCCCGCCCCAGAACAAGCATTCAGATGTTGAAAGTCAGGGAGAAGTCAGAACACGTGGATTCCGGTCGCGGGGCCGTGACCCGTACTGAAGCCGCAGGATCGGGCTGTCAGCCAGGGACTTGGTATGTTCAGGAGAGGTTAGAGGTGTCATTCTGCCATCCTTGGAGCCTTACCCCCTGGCCGGTGACTTCAAAGGACCGCGACCTCTTCTTCCTGCGTTTCACCTCCAGGGTCTCCTCCCTCTTCTCCGACTTCGGGGCCCCTTTCTTTGGCACTTGCTGCCACAACCCCGGAGAACCCCTCCCACGGTTTCCTCCCACCAGTGCCGCCACCATCTCCCCGGTGCTGGTGGAAAGGTTGTCTTCGCTGGCGGCGTGGTGGAGGGGAGAGGCGGGCATCTGCTGGTCTCGGAACGGGTTGTCCTCGCTCTCGCTCAGCGAGTGGACGGACAGGTTGCTCCTCTCCTTCATTGGCTGAAGAGGCTGGAGGCGGTCCCCGTCTGTGACCCGGGAACGCCGTCTGGCCGCCTTCACCGAGATGCTTTTTATGCTGCTGAGAATCTCCTTCTTTTCTGTAATAAAAGTGACACAAAATGAGTCCTGAACACGTGACCACTGAGCCAGCCAATCACAATGGTCATGTGATCGGGAAGTCCGTCCCGCCCATGAGGATCTAACCAATCTCTACTCCATCCAAAACTTAAAGAAAAGGTTTTGGCTTCACGTACATGTCATAGCACCTCGTGGGCGGGGCTGTGACACAGGGATATCTCCCCGCCTCTTACCTTTGCGTGTTAAAGCGACCTTGTCGACGCTCTCAGGGGAGGAGTTGATGTGCTGGCTCATGCTCACCAGATTGCTCCGCGGAAATGGCTGCAACAGTAGAGAATTTTTTAATTAAAGTCGAACTCCGGACAATCAAAAGAAGCCCACCCTCTAGGACTAGTGGGTCTCAACCCCTGCCAGGTCACGGCCTCCCTCCTCCCAGGACTCCAGCTAGCTGCAGACCCCTAAATTCCCACAGTGCCACCCAACCTCCCACAGCGCCACCCAACCTCCCACAATGCCACCAAACCTCCAACAAGGCCACCAACTTCTCACAGAGCCCCCAGGCTCCCCAAGAGCCCTCAGTACCCACCAACTTTTCACAGTGATTCTCATCCTCCCACAATGCCACCAACTTCTCACAAAGCCACCCAACGTCTCACAAAGCCTCTAGGCCCCCAAGAGCCCTCAGTACCCACCAACTTCCCACAGTGCCTCTCATCCTCCCACAGTGCCACCCAACCTCCCACAATGCCACCAACTTCTCACAGAGCCTCTAAGTCCCCAAGACCCCTAAGTACCCACCAGCTTTCCACAATGTCACCCAACATCCCAGAGTGCCACCCAACTTCTCACAGAGCCCCTAGGCCCCCAAGAGCCCTCAAAACCTACTAACTTCCCACAGTGCCACCCAACCTCCCACAGTGCTCCCAGGGTCCCCAAGAGCCCTCAGTACCCACCAACTTCCCACAGTGCCTCTCATCCACCCACAATGCCACCCAACCTCCCACAGTGCAAACCAACGTATCATAAAGCCTCTAGGCCCCCAAGAGCCCTAAGTACCTACCAACTTCCCACAGTGCCTCTCATCCTCCCACAATGGCTCCCAACTTCTCACAGAGCCCCTAGGCCCCCCAAGAGCCCTCAGTACCCACCAACTTCCCACAATGCCACCCAACTTCTCACAGAGCCCCTGGCTCCCCAAGAGCCATCAGTACCCACCAACTTCCCACAGTACCTCTCATTCTCCCACGATGCCACCCAACTTCTCACAAAGCCCCCAGGTCCCCCAAGAGTTCTCAGTACCCACCAACTTTCCACAGTGCCACCCAACCTCCCACAATGCCACCAACTTCTCACAAAGTCCCCAGGCCCCCAAGAGCCCTCAGTACCCACCAACTTTCCACAGTGGCACCCAACCTCCCACAATGCCACCAACTTCTCACAAAGCCCCCAGGCCCCCAAGAGCCCTCAGTACCCACCAACTTTCCACAGTGGCACCCAACCTCCCACAATGCCACCAACTTCTCACAAAGTCCCCAGGCCCCCAAGAGCCCTCAGTACCCACCAACTTTCCACAGTGGCACCCAACCTCCCACAATGCCACCAACTTCTCACAAAGCCCCCCGGCCCCCAAGAGCCCTCGGTACCCACCAACTTCCCACAGTGCCACCCAACCTCTCACAATGCCACCAACTTCTCACAAAGCCCCCAGGCCACCAAAGAGCCCTCAGTACCCACCAACTTCCCACAGTGCCACCCAACCTCTCACAATGCCACCCAACTTCTCAGAAAGCCCCCAGGCCCCCAAGAGCCCTCAGTACCCACTAACGTCCCACAGTGCCTCTCATTCTCCCACAATGCCACCCAACCTCCCACAGTGCCCCCTAGCTTGCTGCTAAGCCTCCAACCTCCCCATAGTGCCCCCAACAGTGCCCCCCAGCCCCCGCATTGCTACAAATGCCTTTTCACATGTATCTGGCTCAGTGCTTCTCCCAGGAATCTGATTGGCACTTGAGATCACATTACTGCGCAATGTCCTGCAGTGATCTACCTGGAAAGAGTGCGGCACGCGGGGTGCAAGGGATTATTTTTGTGGCAATGGGCCTGATCACATGATCCTATAGGCAGACCCTCCCACGTAGCACCGGTGTGGCTTAGTTCAATACCTACGGCACAGGAACAGGCAAGGAAGTGTGAGGGGGAGGGGATGCAGGGAGTGATGAGGGGAGTCACAAGACTCTTCATGGTCCAGGAAAGATCAAACAATTTCTCCTTCCTTTTCTTTCGTTCTCTGTACAGTGATAAGTGGCTCTGTACCAGGGGCGGACTGACCATTTGGACACTCAGGCACTGCACGAGGGCCCGGGGTCAGTAGGGGGCCCCATGAGATGCCCCTGGTACCTTTTTCATAGGCTTTTTTGAGTTTGGGCAAGGACACAGGGGCCCCCCATGATCCCCTATTGCCCGGAGGCCCCATGAGTTGTCAGTCCGCCCCTGCTCTGTACACAGCGGCGTATTTACCCCGAGGCAAACAAGGCATTCGCCTAGGGTGGCAATTTTCAGGGTTGGCGGGGGAAGGGACACACATGGCAGGGATGGGGACCTGGTGAGGCTCTGCCATGGAATCTGAGGAGGCTGCACACTGCTGGAGGGTATAAGATTCCTGCACAAGGAGGGGGGGGGGGGCGGTTTGTGGACAGTGGCAGCAGCGGGGCCCTGGGGGGGTGGAACTCACTATAGCATTCATTATTCCTAAACTAATTACATGACACAAGGGGCGTGGCTTGTCCCAAAAGGCAACATCATTCTGGTGTGTCTAGGTCTCAGCAGAGGCCGTGAGCTATAGAAGGGGAAACTGGGCGGAGTTATTTACAGGGACCTCCCAGGAGGAACACACCGGACAGTTTTCTATAGCTTTCGGAGATCTCAGCGCTCCAAAACTGGCGTCTTACAGCTCAGGATCGCAAAATCTCAGCTCTACTTCTAAAATCCACTTACCTCCTTGCTGACCATCCCGTTCACATGAATTGGAGGCGGAGTCACCACCGTGGAATTCTTAAAGTAACGGGCGCGGGGGCTGGTTTTAAACACTTTATTGGTATCGCTGTTGAGGAAAGGATTGAAGGCTCGTTAAAATCCTCTTATTCCTGTTAGAACTTCAGGATTCGTACGGAGAAAGCGAAAATAGAAATAGAAAATAGACGTCATTCACAAATTAACTCAGGATAGGGAGCCTTATTTTAAAAAAAAGTGACAGTTATTTTCAGCCAATGAGACCAATGAGATTTCAAGATTACAAAAAAGATTAAAATAAGGATCCTTATTCTTGTTCCATAGTCCTGTCCTAGGGTGACAACCCTGTTCCTCCCTACAGTACGGTGAGTGAGTGTTGTCACCCTAAGACAGGAAGTGACCGGATCGCCGGATGAAAAAAAGGAAAGAAAACAATGCAAATGCAGCCATCACACCAAAGACCGGCATGCTGCAATGTGATGAAAACTCCAGAGGTAACAGTCAGAAGAAGTTCTTCAAGGACAAGACCTTCCTCTCACCTCTCAGCCTCGGAGAGAAGTCGCGGTAAGATTCGGCGGTACGACTCCCTGTAGTGCAGATTGTGGTTGTCGGATCCGAAGGTTCTCACGCTCTCTTGGTCTGAGTCGGGTTCCTGGGAGGTCTCCTCGGCGGTGATCTGAGGGATTTTCGGCAAGGAGCTCTGGCTGTCCTGCAATGGGAGGGGGTCGAAGGTCCGCTTAGCTGGCCATACATTATACAATTTTCCTTTAGATTTACCAAAACAATATAAATCGGAGGTCACCCCTAGACACTTCCAATTTGTATGTAGGGATTGTTTAAAAAGGCTGTCTGTTCCTGTCTTCTCTGATCCTCCCCTTCATCTACTGTCCCCAATCTATCTGCTGACAGTACATAGCTCTAGGAGGAACTCGGCACATGCTCAGTTTGGTGTGTATTGCTAGAGAGGTTTTTTTTTTTTGAGGGGGGAGGTACATGTGATTGGCACAGGGCCAATTGGCACTGTCCAGACAGAGGGTCAGGGGTCATGCAGCCTCATGGAACACTCAGAGGTGAATGAAAACTCCTCCTACAACCAGTGCTCTGCTGGACACTGATAGAAGTCACAAGACTGCTCTATATACTGCTGATGGGAAAGATATTTAGCAGTTTATATTTACTAAAATAATTGCATTTCCATGTTCTGTGTACTGTGGGAGAGCAGATATAGTGAATGCGGGGTCCGGGGAGAGCGGATATAGTGAATGCGGGGTCCGGGGAGAGCGGATATAGTGAATGCGGGGTCCGGGGAGAGCGGATATGGTGAATGCGAGGTCCGGGGAGAGCGGATATAGTGAACGCGGGGTCCGGGGGAGAGCGGATATAGTGAACGCGGGGTCCGGGGAGAGCGGATATAGTGAACGCGGGGTCCGGGGAGAGCGGATATAGTGAACGCGGGGTCCGGGGAGAGCGGATATAGTGAACGCGGGGTCCGGGGAGAGCGGATATAGTGAACGCGGGGTCCGGGGAGAGCGGATATAGTGAACGCGGGGTCCGGGGAGAGCGGATATAGTGAATGCGGGGTCCGGGGGGAGAGCGGATATAATGAATGCGGGGTCCGGGGAGAGCGGATATAGTGAATGCGGGGTCCGAGGAGAGCGGATATAGTGAATAGAGGGTCCGGGGGGAGCGGATATAGTGAATGCGGGGTCGGGGAGAGCGGATATGGTGAATGCGGGGTCCGGGGGGGAGAGCGGATATAGTGAATGCGGGGTCCGGGGAGAGCGGATATAGTGAATGCGGGGTCCGGGGGGGAGAGCGGATATAGTGAATGCGGGGTCCGGGGAGAGCGGATATAGTGAATGCGGGGTCCGGGGAGAGCGGATATAGTGAATGCGGGGTCCGGGGAGAGCGGATATAGTGAATGCGGGGTCCGGGGAGAGCGGATATAGTGAATGCGGGGTCCGAGGAGAGCGGATATAGTGAATGCGGGGCCTGGGGAGAGCGGATATAGTGAATGGAGGGTCCGGGGGGAGCGGATATAGTGAATAGAGGGTCCGGGGGGAGCGGATATAGTGAATAGAGGGTCCGGGGAGAACGGATATAGTGAATAGAGGGTCCGGGGGGAGCGGATATAGTGAATGCGGGGTCTGGGGAGAGCGGATATAGTGAATGCGGGGTCTGGGGAGAGCGGATATAGTGAATGCGGGGTCCGGGGAGAGCGGATACAGTGAATGCGGGGTCCGGGGGAGAGCGGATACAGTGAATGCGGGGTCCGGGGAGAGCGGATATAGTGAATGCGGGGTCCGGGGAGAGCGGATATAGTGAATGCGGGGTCCGGGGAGAGCGGATATAGTGAATGCGGGGTCCGGGGAGAGCGGATATAGTGAATGCGGGGTCCGGGGAGAGCGGATATAGTGAATGCGGGGTCCGGGGAGAGCGGATATAGTGAATGCGGGGTCCGGGGAGAGCGGATATAGGGAATGCGGGGTCCGGGGAGAGCGGATACAGTGAATGCGGGGTCCGGGGGAGAGCGGATATAGTGAATGCGGGGTCCGGGGAGAGCGGATACAGTGAATGCGGGGTCCGGGGAGAGCGGATACAGTGAATGCGGGGTCCGGGGAGAGAGCGGATATAGTGAATGCGGGGTCCGGGGAGAGCGGATACAGTGAATGCGGGGTCCGGGGAGAGCGGATATAGTGAATGCGGGGGTCCGGGGAGAGCGGATATAGTGAATAGAGGGTCCCGGGGAGAGCGGATACAGTGAATGCGGGGTCCGGGGAGAGCGGATACAGTGAATGCGGGGTCCGGGGAGAGCGGATATAGTGAATGCGGGGTCCGGGGAGAGCGGATATATGGAATGCGGGGTCCGGGGAGAGCGGATATATGGAATGCGGGGCGGGGTCCGGGGAGAGAGGGATATAGTGAATGCGGGGTCCGGGGAGAGCGGATATATGGAATGCGGGGTCCGGGGAGAGCGGATATATGGAATGCGGGGTCGGGGGGGAGAGCGGATATAGTGAATGCGGGGTCCGGGGAGAGCGGATATAGTGAATGCGGGGTCTGGGTATTCGCTTGGCACTCCCATGTGACCCGTGTGACTGTGACACCCATGAAGTTGGAGAGTGAAGCTGGCCGAGAAGACCAACATAACATTTGTCTGGTGGTTTAGGATCAGTTGTGCGATTTTTCAGCAGCCCCTGAACTGTCCTTTGTCTTCCTCTGTCTTCATGTACACGTCGTCCTTTACAGGCAGTTGAGGTCGCAGACATTTTTTTGAAAGCACAAAAATCGTGTCCAGAGATGTAGAGTTTACCGATGTTTCAAACACCAAACGCTTGTAACCGCGTGTAAACGCGTTTATGCGTGTTTGCGTTTAGACAAGTGTTTGGGCCGATCCATGTCCAGATGCTGACCAGAACCTTTTTTCTTCATCAGAAATGCATGCAAAGCTTTTTCCATGTATTCAAATGGACCCGATACACCAGCGCAGTCAGTTGCAAGTTTTGCGCGAAGGAAAAAAAATGCATAATGCTCATGATGGGATCCATAGTGAATACAACCAGAAAAGACCGATCATCTCCACACATACTGCTCTCTCTGCTTCTGCTCTCCCCGCCTCTGCTCTCCCCGCTTCTGCTCTCCCCGCCCCTGCTCTCCCCGCTTCTGCTCTCCCCACTTCTGCTCTCTCTCTGCTTCTGCTCTCCCCGCTTCTGTTTTACCCGCTTCCGCTCTTCCCGCTTCTGCTCTCCCCGCCTCTGCTCTCCCCGCCTCTGCTCTCCCCGCCTCTGCTCTCCCCGCCTCTGCTCTCTCCGCCTCTGCTCTCCCCGCCTCTGCTCTCCCCGCTTCTGTTTTACCCGCTTCTGCTCTCTCTGCTTCCGCTCTTCCCGCTTCGCGCTCTCCCGCCTCTGCTCTCCCCGCCTCTGCTCTCCCCGCCTCTGCTCTCCCCGCCTCTGCTCTCCCCGCCTCTGCTGCTCTCCCCGCCTCTGCTCTCCCCGCCTCTGCTCTCCCCGCCTCTGCTCTCCCCGCCTCTGCTCTCCCCGCCTCTGCTCTCTCCGCTCTCTCCGCCTCTGCTCTCTCCGCCTCTGCTCTCTCCGCCTCTGCTCTCCCCGCCTCTGCTCTCCCCGCCTCTACTCTCCCCGCCTCTGCTCTCTCTGCTTCTCACAAAATGTCTGCAATAGTTAATGATTTAGTATTTTTCCGTGCATTCTGGGTATTCGGAGGGTCTCCTGAGGTTACCTTTTAAAAACACTTCTAAACGCAAACACGCATAAACACGGTAGGTAAACGCGGCTAAACTGGCATTTTTATCCCATGTTCTCCAGCAGTCAGTTTCCAGCAGTCAGAAGAGTTTTCCAAACGCCCCGTGTACATGGAACCCTAAGACAGAACCTCCTCCCAGCAGTGTACTTCTCAATGGCTTTGTATTGGTGGTAAAAACTGGGCTAAATCTAGTGGGACCCACTTGCCGCAGATTCTCACAGTCAACAGATTTGGTAAAAGGAAGGAACCTTCAAAGCCAGAAGTGAAGCTCGGTCAACGAGACTGATCCGTTCCAAGGTGCCCTCTTCCAGCTCGCGGAGGTACACTTCATACAGGTCCTCCAGGCGGTGCGGGACGGTCAAGTTGTGATCTGGAAAACGATTTATTGTCAGGAGTTACACCACTAAAAAGGCACTTTCTATAAAACACAGAAAAAAATGAGGCAAATGGCCGTCGGGGAATTATACTGCCGCCAGGAGCTGGGCCGTACCAAAAAAGAAAACCTCGGTTGGCAACCAAAAACTGGAGGCAACCCGATCCGACTGCCGACATTTATCACATTTATATCTGTATACAATAAAACGAAACTTTTTTTGTAGAGAATTTTTTTGGTCGCCTTCAAAGTCCCAACAGGACTTCTAATATTGAAGGAATGGTGGCACCCTATGTCCACACCAGAAACTGGCTTTCCATTTTAAAGCCGGGATGTAGCCAGTCATCATTCAACATGGTGGAGCTGCCATTGGCTCTATGGCCAAGTCGTCGATTTCAACCTGGACGCTCACTGAGCTCGATGCACAAAGCCGTCACACCGGGATAAGGACAGTTATTTTCTGACAAGTGGCAGTTATTTTCAGTCGAGTCCGACGAGATTTGAAAGTGCTTTGTGACTTAGGCCTAGAGTCTGGAAATGATAGTGAAAGCAAAAAACGACTTTATTCTTAACGCCTCCCGGCCCTTTAAGGGTTTCAGAAGCTGGGAGGTGGGGCGGGGTTTTAAGGTCATGTGACCGCCCTGTTTTGCCATCACGGCGGTCACATGATTGGGAAAGGTCCCGATCAAAAGAGGAGATCGGCACCTTTCTGTGAGTACCGGAAATGTGTGCTGGGAGCGCACAGGGCACACTCTCAGCACATATGTTTTTGTTAATTGCACGCAAATGCGCGGCCGCTCGGCGTCAAGGCCCAGATGCCGGGAGGACGCACATTTGCATGCGGCCGGCATGAAGAGGTTAAACGCCTGTCTGTCCAAATGCGCTTTTTATCTTGGGATAGAATAACACAAATATGTTCAGTATTGTACAATAAAAATGTATTTATTTCCGGTACTTGTATATCACCGCCAATTTACTCCGCGCTTTACATATATATTGTATATTCACAGCAGTCCCCGCCCCCGAGGAGCGTACAATCTAAGGCACAGGTGTCAAACACAAGGCCCTCCAGGCCATTTCATGTGGCCCTTGCACCTCTCCTGCTGGTACCCCCTTGTCTGCGCTCCCCACGCACCTCTCCTACAGGTACCCCCTTGTCTGCGCTCCCCACGCACCTCTCCTGCAGGTACCCCCTTGACTCCGCTCCCCGCGCACCTCTCCTGCAGGGACCCCCCTTGTCTCCACTCCCCACGCACCTCTCCTGCAAGTACCCCCCTGTCTCCGCTCCCCGCGCACCTCTCCTGCAGATTCCCCCTGTCTCCGCTCCCCGCGCACCTCTCCTGCAGATTCCCCCTTGTCTCCACCCCCGCGCACCTCTCCTGCAGGGACCCCCTTGTCTCCACCCCCACGCATCTCTCCTGCAGGGACCCCCTTGTCTCCGCCACACAACCCAGCCTAAAGTTGCAGTGCTGGACTCATCTGTCACTCCAGCCACGCCCCCGATGCGTTTCGTCCCACCCACTGGGGCTTGGTCACAGAGGTGGAGAAGACAAGCAGAGCAAGAGTTTACATATACACCATCGGCCGTATAAAGAAACAGGTGTGTGTGTATGTATGTATGTGTGTGTGTGCATGTATGTATGTGTGTGTGTGTCTGCTGCTTCTCCTTTCACTGTATTACTTGTGCTGCAGTGCAAGCAGCGCGCTGATAGGAGGAGATAGCAGAGTGACAGAGAGATGAGCTCATCACAGTGCTGCTTCTCCTTTCACTGTCCAATCACGGGCCGGGGGAGGGACAAGACCTGTAAATGTTACTTAACTGCATCAGAGAAAAAAATCCATTCTTCTGCCCTGCCAGATAGGGAGGTGGTGTGTGGCAGAGCTGTGTAAATCTCAGGACCGGATGGACAGACATACAAATCCTCCATGTAAAATACGCGGTCAGATTCCGGCACGTCAGATATGACATTTACCTGCGATGACCCTCCTCTGCTGCCGGATGATCTCGTCGCAGATGCAGCGATGCTGCTCGAACCGCTGCACCATGTAGTTCTTCTGGCGGATCATGTTGTCCTTCAGCAGGGCGTGGGACTGCATCTCGGTGTTCTCGATCTCCAGCTCGTGCACCTTACACAGCAGGCTGAGGACCTCCCTCTGCTCCTCCGAGCTGATCCTCTTCGGTAAAATCTCCTCCAGCCTCCTCGCTCGCTGACGGATCTCCTTAAATCTCCTCTCCAGCTCCAGCTGTGTGGGAAGAGGATGACGCCATTATAAGAGGCGGTGGGATGGGGGGTGGGGGGGGGGCTGCAAACCTTACATGGGGGCTTCGTTCACACGCCATGTGCGCACTTTCTGTACGGAACGCAGGTTCTTGTAGGCGGAGCTATGAGAATGAGCCCCTATGGAGATGGGGAAAGAGATACCAGGGCAGAGACCTTGTGGGGTAGATGGAGAGTAGAACTCCACCCACAATGGAAAAGGAAACCTGTAATGAGACAAATATGGGGACGGCTATTGCAGAACATCTCCTAGCAATACCTTTTGCCTGGCTGCCCCTGACTTCTCTGATCCTCCTCCCAGGATTCACGTGTCCTCCTCCCGGGATCCACATGTGTCCTCCTGCCGGGACTCCCATGTGTCCTCCTCCCGGGATCCACATGTGTCCTCCTCCGGGATCCACATGTGTCCTCCTCCCGGGATCCACATGTGTCCTCCTCCCGGGACTCCCATGCGTCCTCCTCCCGGGACTCCCATGCGTCCTCCTCCCGGGACTCCCATGCGTCCTCCTCCCGGGACTCCCATGCGTCCTCCTCCCGGGACTCCCATGCGTCCTCCTCCCGGGATCCACATGTGTCCTCCTCCTGGGATCCACATGTGTCCTCCTGCCGGGACTCCCATGTGTCCTCCTCCCGGGATCCACATGTGTCCTCCTCCCGGGATCCACATGTGTCCCCTCCTCCTCCCGGGATCCACATGTGTCCTCCTCCCGGGATCCACATGTGTCCTCCTCCCGGGATCCACATGTGTCCTCCTCCCGGGACTCAGATGTGTCCTCCTCCCCTCGGGATCCCATGTGTCCTCCTCCCGGGACCCCCATGTGTCCTCCTCCTCCCGGGTCCTCCTCCCGGGATCCACATGTGTCCTCCTCCCGGGATCCACATGTGTCCTCCTCCCGGGATCCACATGTGTCCTCCTCCCGGGACTCCACATGTGTCCTCCTCCCGGGATCCACATGTGTCCTCCTCCCGGGATCCACATGTGTCCTCCTCCTCCCGGGATCCACATGTGTCCTCCTCCCGGGACTCCCATGTGTCCTCCTCCCTCCCATGTGGGACTCCCATGTGTCCTCCTCCCGGGACTCCCATGTGTCCTCCTCCCGGGACTCCCATGTGTCCTCCTCCCAAGGGGACTCCCATGTGTCCTCCTCCCGGGACTCCCATGTCCTCCTGTCCCATGTGTCCTCCTCCCGGGACTCCCATGTGTCCTCCTCCCGGGACTCCCATGTGTCCTCCTCCCGGGATCACCATGTGTCCCATGTGTCCTCCTCCCGGGACTCCACATGTGTCCTCCCTCCGGGGATCCACATGTGTCCTCCTCCCGGGATCCACATGTGTCCTCCTCCCGGGACTCCCATGTGTCCCTCCTCCCTGGGATCCTCCTCCCATGTGTCCTCCTCCCGGGACTCCACATGTGTCCTCCTCCCCGGACTCCCATGTGTCCTCCTCCGGGATCCCATGTGTCCTCCTCCCGGGACTCCACATGTGTCCTCCTCCCGGGACTCCCATGTGTCCTCCTCCCGGGATCCCATGTGTCCTCCTCCCGGGATCCACATGTGTCCTCCTCCCGGGATCCACATGTGTCCTCCTCCTCCGGGATCCACATGTGTCTCCTCCTCCCGGGACCCCCATGTGTCCTCCTCCCGGGATCCACATGTGTCCTCCTCCCGGGATCCACATGTGTGTCCTCCTCCCGGGATCCACATGTGTCCTCCTCCCGGGATCCACATGTGTCCTCCCGGGATCCCATGTGTCCTCCTCCTCCCGGGACTCCCATGTGTCCTCCTCCCAGGACTCCCATGTGTCCTCCTCCCAGGACTCCCATGTGTCCTCCTCCCAGGACTCCCATGTGTCCTCCTCCCAGGACTCCCATGTGTCCTCCTCCCAGGACTCCCCATGTGTCCTCCTCCCAGGACTCCCATGTGCCCTCCCCCAGGATCCCACGTGTCCTCCTCCCAGGATCCACATGTGTTCTCCTCCCGGACTCCCATTGTTCCTCCTCCCTCCGGGACTCCCATGCGTCCTCCTCCCGGGACTCCCATGCGTCCTCCTCCCGGGACTCCCGGGGACTCCCATGCGTCCTCCTCCCGGGACTCCCATGCGTCCTCCTCCCGGGACTCCCATGCGTCCTCCTCCCGGGACTCCCATGCGTCCTCCTCCCGGGACTCCCATGCGTCCTCCTCCCGGGACTCCCATGTGTCCTCCTCCCGGGATCCACATGTGTCCTCCTCCCTGGGATCCACATGTGTCCTCCTCCTGGGACTCAGATATGTCCTCCTCTCGGGACTTCCATGTGTCCTCCTCCCGGGACCCCCACATGTGTCCTCCTGCCGGGACCCACATGTGTCCTCCTCCCGGGATCCACATGTGTCCTCCTCCCGGGATCCACATGTGTCCTCCTCCCGGGATCCACATGTGTCCTCCTCCCGGGATCCACATGTGTCCTCCTCCCGGGACTCAGATGTGTCCTCCTCTCGGGACTCCCATGTGTTCTCCTCCCGGGACTCCCATGTGTCCTCCTCCTCCCAGGACTCCCATGTGTCCTCCTCCCAGGACTCAGATTTGCCCTCCTCCAAGGATCCACGTGTCCTCCTCCCAGGATCCACATGTGTTCTCCTCCCGGGACTCCCATGCGTCCTCCTCCCGGGACTCCCATGCGTCCTCCTCCCGGGACTCCCATGCGTCCTCCTCCCGGGACTCAGATATGGCCTCCTCCTGGGACTCCCATGTGTCCTCCTCCCGGGACTCCCATGTGTCCTCCTCCCCGGACTCCCATGTGTCCTCCTCCCCGGACTCCCATGTGTCCTCCTCCCCGGACTCCCATGTGTCCTCCTCCCGGGACTCCCATGTGTCCTCCTCCCGGGACTCCCATGTGTCCTCCTCCCGGGACTCCCATGTGTCCTCCTCTCGGGTCTCCTTCAACCTCTTCCTGCCCATGTATTGTGCACATGCAGCAGCAAAGAGGGTGGGCCCTAACACCCACACGCATGCATCCATGGGTGACAAAGCATGTAACAGCAAGGACTCTGCACACCTACAGAGCTGAAACTATGAATGAATGAAAAGCAGCTTCAGCCGGCTCCTTCAACGTCATGTGTGCTGACGTGTTTCGACCCGTTGGCTGTCATAGAGGTCTAGAACCCGGGGCAGAACGCCACTGATGAGATCAACGTCCTCACAAAGCCAACACGTTTTGGGGGTTCAGCTCTCCCCTTCTTCAGGACTTTATTGCTGGACGATGGTTTCAGTGTAACAGATTTTGACCGAACGGATTAAAAAGTCGACCAGCAGCTGGTTTAGGACAGTTCGTTTAGAATGAATGTTACATTGTAACCATCATCCAGCATCTCTGTGATTTCATTGTCAGCATTTAGGCCCTGAAGAAGAGGAGAGCTGAACCCCGAAACATGTTGGCTGTGACAAAGTTCATCTTATCCTACCTAAAAAATTAATCAATGCCGGGATGAAATGTTGGGGTGTCCCTTCAAGTCCTTTGATATATAGAAGCTGCCAGCTATAAGAATCCAGAAATCCAAGTGAAATCCCCCTATGACCCTATGAGCTGCCTTAGGGTGCGGGGGGTGGTAAAATCCGAATCCCTAACGCTCTCTCTGTGTCCACCCAGCACTCTCCAGCACTCCCTCTGTGTCCCCCCAGCACTCTCCAGCATTCCCTGTGTGTCCCCCCAGCACTCCCTCTGTGTCCCCCCAGGCACTCTCCAGCACTCCCTCTGTGTCCCCCCAGGCACTTCCCAGCACTCCCTCTGTGTCCCCCCAGCACACTCCAGGGCTCCCTCTGTGTCCCACGGCACGCTCCAGCACTCCCTCTGTGTCCCCCCAGGCACTTCCCAGCACTCCTTCTGTGTCCCCCCAGCACACTCCAGCGCTCCCTCTGTGTCCCACGGCACGCTCCAGCACTCCCTCTGTGTCCCCCCAGGCACTTCCCAGCACTCCTTCTGTGTCCCCCCAGCACTCTCCAGCACTCCATCTGTGTCCCCGCAGAACTCTCCAGCACTCCATCTGTGTCCCCGCAGAACTCTCCAGCACTCCATCTGTGTCCCTGCAGCACTCTCCAGTGCTCCCTCTGTGTCCCCCCAGGCACTCTTTAGCACTCCCTCTGTGTTCCCCGGCACTCTCCAGCACTCCCTCTCTATCCCCCCCAGCACTCTCCAGTGCTCCCTCTGTGTCCCCTCAGCACTCTCTAGTGCTCCTTCTGTGTCCCCCCCAGCACTCTCCAGTGCTCCCTCTGTGTCCCCCCAGCACTCTCCAGTGCTCCCTCTGTGTCCCCCCCAGCACTCTCCAGTGCTCCCTCTGTGTCCCCCCCAGCACTCTCCAGTGCTCCCTCGGTGTTCCCTCAGGGATCCTGCTGAGAGACTTGTAAGTGCAGAGCTGATCTTTACACAAGGGCCAGGATTTACGTTTAGGTTCCATTGTAAACAATAAGTAGAACATGAGGAGATATTGGCTGCAGAAAGACACCAAGTGGTCCTGCCTTGTTTTTAATGTTTTTTCTGTCTGTTTATACTGTAGATTGATGTTCGTCCCAATCATGTTTGAATCCACTTACTGTAGACTGACTCACTACCTCTGCTGGAAGTCTGTTCCAAGCAGCAACTACTCCTTCCATAAAGTAATACTTTCTAAGGTTAGTTATGACCTTTCCTCAGGCTCGTTGGAGATGCAGAAAAAGTGGTCTGTGGCCAGTTTATAAACTAGATGGCTATGTGGCTACCTGGACATAGATACATCGTTTTCGGCTGTCTACCCTCAGGGGAACCAGAAGAAATGCTCTGAAAAGTTTAAATATTTAGCTAATAATGATATTCAAGTCTCCCACTTCCATCATACCTTCTGCCTGCGGAGTTTTCCCTGGTCTCCCACCAGTGCCTGGATGTTCTCCCTGGCTGCGGTGACCTCCTGCGGCTCCATGATGTCCGACTGGTCGTCTCCCGTGTCCGAGTCCTTCTCGCTATCGTCCTTTCCATAGGATTCCTTACGCAGCTCTTCCCTCCATTTGCGCACTCGCCGGGTTTTTTCTTGCTCCCAACTGTGAAAGTCACAAAGCAAAAATTTGAATTAACGGTACGAAATTATTTCTGAGGCATGCTGGGTTATTTTATGAAGTTGGAAATACACCATCATACCTGAGGACCAAGCTGGGCAAGAGCCTGGGAAGGGGCTGACCACATGAAAAGAACTATTCTAGGAAAGTAATAGGTTCTCTTGATAGACCAACCTTCCACCCTTCAACTTACCTATCCAGCAACCCACCTCCACCTTTCTGTTCATCTGTTGAAGCTCAAGTCTAATCTCCTTGTAAGCTCCATGTCGAAACTTACAGAAGGTTAAAGATCTACTCCCCTAACACCACTTGACAGTTGATGCAATCTACTATCTGCAGGAATCTCTAGATCTTCAGAAGGTCGACTACAATAAGGCCCACAACTGCCGTCACATTGCAGACCCCTACTATGAACTGCCAGTCTTCAATCGAGAACATGGACAGCAATTGGTAGCTCAGGCATTGGGGACTACCTCCTAGGAGGAAGGGATCAGGTCACATACTGGAAGATCTACATGTGGGCAAGATTGTGCCTGTTTGTCCAACCACCATAAACCACCTAATCCCTTTGTAAGCTCCATGTGAAAGCTTAGAGAGGGTTAAAGATCTACTCCCCTAACATCACATGACTGTTGATACCATCTACTGTCTGCAGGTGTCTTTAGATATGCAGAAATGTTGCTATGATAAGGCCCACAACTGCCATGACATTGCAGACCCTCTCTTCGACAGAAAAGATGGGTGGCCATTGAAAGCCTAGGCCTTACCTCCTGGATGAAAGGGAGAAGGTCACATACTCTACCATACCTGGGAGTACTGGGTATTTTCTTATTAAGTGTACCTATCACTTTACCTTCAATGAACAACAAGACATCTTCAATTTAGGATGCCCTCTAAAGCAGGATCAGTTTCATCCCAAGATGTATTGGGAATGGATAGACTGAGCTAAGGCTGCATTGGAGAGACCTGATGAGCGTTTCCTAGAATGTTTAACTGATTGAACACGTGTTTGTCTAAAGAACTTTCAAACAGAACATCTAAGGGTGGTCAAGGTTGTACTTGTGTGTCCAACCATCATCCACTGTATGCAGGTATCTTTAGATCTTCAGAAATTTTGCTACAGTAAGGGCCACAACTTCTGTCACATTGCAGAGCCGTATTCTAGCCTGCTAGGCTTCAATAGGGACAATATTAAGATGCAAATCACCTCAGGCGGCTCACAACACGTGCCCTCATCATGTGCTGATTTGTCCCAACTTACCCTCCTTCTATGAAACATGAAAGTTCTCTGAGTTGACATGTATCTTCGAAAACTTACTCTGCGACGATGAGGAAATGCCGAGACGTCTCCATTTGTATTTCCATGTGGTTGCTCTCCAGTTCCATCAGCTGTCTCCGAATGTCCATCTGCTCTCTGAAGGCCTTTATCAGCTGTTCTCTAAGCTGGTCCATCTCTCGTCGGTCGTAGGGCAAGGTGTGGAGCTGGACCTCAGCTAGAGAAAGCAAGGCAGAGGATCAAAAAGTTTGATCAGCTATCATCAACTACAGATTTTAAAGCAGGGTTTCTCAACTAAGGTTCCTCCAGCGTTGCTCGGGGTTCCTTGAGCAATTTCTGCTTCTCAAATAATTTTCACACTGAAACCATTGATATTTTTCATTATCTGTAAGGGTGTAATTCTTCCCAATGACCACAAGTCTAAGGAGCCTTCTTCCCACTGACCTTCATAATTCATTAGTTGTAGATAGTCATTTTTAGCATCGTTCCACAAGGCCAGAAAGATATTTCAAGGGTTCCTCTGTGTTACAAAGGTTGAGAAAGGTTGCTTTAAAGGAAACCCATCATGTTACTGCTAACATCTCCTTCTTCTAGCTGCCTGGCTAGCATGTTGATACATTAGCTCCACTTCAGTGACCTGGAACATGTATAGAGGTAAGGAATTCAGACCCCCCTCAAGAAGAAATGTTGCAATAGGGAGGAGCCATGGCTGTCACCAAGGATGAACTTCAAACATGTCTGCCAATGTTCCTTTCCAACACATGGAGGATTGATGGGATAAGTTGTTTATGTAGGAAAGGTGAGAATGTTTGAGCTGTCTTTTCAGCTCACAAGAGGTGATAAGGACACTGCATTTCTGGCAGGATCAACACATATATTCTGGTAAGACCCACCTAGTCAACCACTTAGCCAACCAGAAGGCAAAACTCAAGTATGGATGAATCCTTTACTTCAAACTGCCAATGGATCCAAAAGAGAAGAAGCCGATGGCACTCCAATGAAACCCAATGCAAGTGTAACTTTATTGTTCTGGACAGGCAAAGACGAAGTCCCTCTTCTGCGACTTGCTACACCCAAGTGTAGCTTTATTGTTCCGGAGAGGCAAACATGAAGCCCCTTCTCGGACTTGCTACACCCAGGTGTAACTTTATTGTCATGGACAGGCAAACACGAAGCCCTGTCTAGGACTTGCTACTCCCAAGTTTGTCTTTAGTGTTCAGGATAGGCAAACACGAAGCCCCACCTGGAACTTGCTAAAACAAGTGTAACTTTATTGTCCTGGACAGGCAAACACAAAGCCCCGCCTGGAACTTGCTAATACAAGTGTAACTTTATTGTCCTGGACAGGCAAACACAAAGCCCCGCCTGGAACTTGCTAATACAAGTGTAACTTTATTGTCCTGGACAGGCAAACACAAAGCCCCGCCTGCAACTTGCTAAATACAAGTGTAACTTTATTGTCCTGGACAGGCAAACAGGAAGCCTTGTCTAGGACTTGCAACACCCAAGTATAGCTCTATTGTTTTGGACAGGCAAAAATGAAGCCCCCCCTCTTCTGGGACTTGCTACACCCAAGTGTAACTTTATTGTTCTGGACAGGCAGACACAAAGTCCTATCTAGGACTTTGAAAACCCAAGTGTAGTTTTATGGTTCCAGAGGAGCAAACATGAAGCCCTATCTATGACTTGCAACACCCAAGTGTAGCTTTATTGTTCTGGCCTGGCAAACATGAAGCCCCTTCTGGGATTTGCTACAACCAAGTTTGGCTTTATTGATTCAGACAGGCAAACACGAAGCCCTGCTTGGGATTTGCAACACCCAAGTGTAGCTTTATTGTTCTGGCCTGGCAAACACGAAGCCCTGCCTGGGATTTGCAACACCCAACTGTAGATTTATTGTTATGGACGGGCAGACATGAAGTCCCTCCTGGGATATCCCAGGCTGGCCTTTGTGTTTGCCTGTATGGAACAATAAAGCTACAATTACATTGTATTTTAACAGAATTCCACTGGCTTTTGCTCTTTTGGATCTGCAGGTATTTTCTGTAGTTTCTGAACGTTTTTAACCTGAAGCAAGAAAACGAAGGCAGCCACCACATCCAAGGACTAGTACGCTACAATATATTCCATTTTTTGCTTTTAGCTGTAGATACATTTTAGAATGTCCCCCCAGGATCTACAAACCAGAAATCCCATCCTGCCCTGGGACATTGATGCCCACAGGGAAGGACAGGTGTGGGATTACCCTGGATGTTGCGGATGTCGCCCCTCTCGCCCCGGATCTGTTTCATGCTTTGCTCGTCAATCTTCTCCTTGAGTCTCTGGATCTCGTTCCTCAGCTCGGAGATGATGCTGGTGTACTGGGCGATGTGGTAGGACACGTTCAGGAGGTTCCGTTTGACCTGGTGGATAGCGACACGGACGGCAATAAAAACCTGAACAATTCCAATCAACCCAAAAAGTGAAAACAAAAAGTTCTCTCTTTAGAAACTTCCAATTTCTTTATGTCCAATGTGGACTCACAGCCCTCTTCACTCCTGACAATGCTTCCTATTAGGGATCAGGACCCCAATAACCAAGATGTCAGACAACATAAGCCGGGACTCCGGGACTGAAGCGTTCGGGAAGCACTCACCCGGGTCTTTATGTTTTTGGCACGATCAGCGTAGGTGAGAGTATTTCGGGACTCCTCGAAGGCACTGTTAGCGGGGCTGATGTGCGCAATCATGACGGTTCGGCTGTTCCCTCCCAAAGAATCCTGATGAAGGAGACCGGCAGAAAAAAAACAACTATAAGTTTAAAGGAGAACTCCACTGTCATCCAAAAAAATTAATCAAGCGTGTAAAAAAATGCTACAATTGTAATCTAATGTTATTAAACACGACTTTTCTATTTCATTCTGAAGCCCGGGGCTTTTTTTCTCATAGAAAAGGTGCAGGAACTCCCCCTTCCTGAGTCTCTCCTTATCTACGCCCCCTACCCACCTCTGAGCACCACTCCTTGGTTCCACCCCCTACCCACCTCTGAGCAACGCTCCTTGGTTCCACCCCCTACCCACCTCTGAGCAACGCTCCTTGGTTCCACCCTCTACCTACCAATAAGCACCGCTCCTTGGTTCCACCCCCTACCCACCTCTGAGAACCACTCCATGGTTCCACCCCCCTACCCACCTCTGAGCCCCGCTCCTTGGTTCCACCTCTGAGCACCACTCCTTGGTTCCACCCCCTACCCACCTCTGAGAACCACTCCATGGTTCCACCCCCCTACCCACCTCTGAGCCCCGCTCCTTGGTTCCACCTCTGAGCACCACTCCTTGGTTCCACCCTCTACCCACCTCTGAGCAACGCTCCTTGGTTCCACCCCCTACCCACCTCTGAGCAATGCTCCTTGGTTCCACCCCCTTCCCACCTCTGAGCAACGCTCCTTGGTTCCACCCCCTACCCACCTCTGAGCAATGCTCCTTGGTTCCACCCCCTTCCCACCTCTGAGCAACGCTCCTTGGTTCCACCCCCTACCCACCTCTGAGCAATGCTCCTTGGTTCCACCCCCTTTCCACCTCTGAGCACCACTCCTTGGTTCCACCCCCTACCCACCTCTGAGCAACGCTCCTTGGTTCCACCCTCTAACTACCTATCAGCACCGGTCCTTGGTTCCACCCCCTACCCACATCTGAGAACCGCTCCGTGGTTCCACCCCCCTACGCACCTCTGAACACTAATCCTTGGTTCCACCCCCTGCCCACCTCTGAACACTACTCCTTGGTTCCACCCCCTATCCGCCTCTGAGCACCACTCCTTGGTTCCACCCCCTACCCACCTCTGAGCACTGCTCCGTGATTCCACCCCCCTACCCACCTCTGACCAACGCTCCTTGGTTCCACCCCCTACCCACCTCTGAGCACCACTCCTTGGTTCCACCCCCTACCCACATCTAAGCAACGCTCCTTGGTTCCGCCCTCTACCGACCTATCAGCACCGCTCCTTGGTTCCACCCGCTACCCACCTCTGAGAACCACTCCATGGTTCCACCCCCCTACCCACCTCTGAGCCCCGCTCCTTGGTTCCACCTCTGAGCACCACTCCTTGGTTCCACCCCCTACCCAACTCTGAGCAACGCTCCTTGGTTCCACCCCCCTACCCATCTCTGAACACTACTCCTTGGTTCCACCCCCTACCCACTTCTGAACACTACTCCTTGGTTCCACCCGCTATCCACCTCTGAGCACCGCTCCGTGGTTCTACCCACATCTGAGCACTACTCCTTGGTTCCACCCCCTACCCACCTCTGAGAACCACTCCATGGTTCCACCCCCCTACCCACCTCTGAACACTACTCCTTGGTTCCACCCCCCTACCCACCTCTGACCAACGCTCCTTGGTTCCACCCCCTACCCACCTCTGAGCACCACTCCTTGGTTCCACCCCCCTACCCACCTCTGAGCCCCGCTCCTTGGTTCCACCTCTGAGCACCACTCCTTGGTTCCACCCCCTACCCAACTCTGAGCAACGCTCCTTGGTTCCACCCCCTACCCACCTCTAAGCAACGCTCCTTGGTTCCGCCCTCTACCGACCTATCAGCACCGCTCCTTGGTTCCACCCGCTACCCACCTCTGAGAACCACTCCATGGTTCCACCCCCCTACCCACCTCTGAGCCCCGCTCCTTGGTTCCACCTCTGAGCACCACTCCTTGGTTCCACCCCCTACCCAACTCTGAGCAACGCTCCTTGGTTCCACCCCCCTACCCATCTCTGAACACTACTCCTTGGTTCCACCCCTTACCCACTTCTGAACACTACTCCTTGGTTCCACCCGCTATCCACCTCTGAGCACCGCTCCGTGGTTCTACCCACATCTGAGCACTACTCCTTGGTTCCACCCCCTACCCACCTCTGAGAACCACTCCATGGTTCCACCCCCCTACCCACCTCTGAACACTACTCCTTGGTTCCACCCCCCTACCCACCTCTGACCAACGCTCCTTGGTTCCACCCCCTACCCACCTCTGAGCACCACTCCTTGGTTCCACCCCCCTACCCACCTCTGAGCCCCGCTCCTTGGTTCCACCTCTGAGCACCACTCCTTGGTTCCACCCCCTACCCAACTCTGAGCAACGCTCCTTGGTTCCACCCCCTACCCACCTCTAAGCAACGCTCCTTGGTTCCGCCCTCTACCGACCTATCAGCACCGCTCCTTGGTTCCACCCGCTACCCACCTCTGAGAACCACTCCATGGTTCCACCCCCCCTACCCACCTCTGAGCCCCGCTCCTTGGTTCCACCTCTGAGCACCACTCCTTGGTTCCACCCCCTACCCAACTCTGAGCAACGCTCCTTGGTTCCACCCCCCTACCCATCTCTGAACACTACTCCTTGGTTCCACCCCCTACCCACTTCTGAACACTACTCCTTGGTTCCACCCCCTATCCACCTCTGAGCACCGCTCCGTGGTTCTACCCACATCTGAGCACTACTCCTTGATTCCACCCCCTACCCACCTCTGAGAACCACTCCATGGTTCCACCCCCCTACCCACCTCTGAACACTACTCCTTGGTTCCACCCCCTATCCACCTCTGAGCACCACTCCTTGGTTCCACCCCCTACCCACCTCTGAGCACCGCTCCTTGGTTCCACCTCCTACCCACCTCTGAGCACCACTCCTTGGTTCCACCCCCCACCCACCTCTGAGCAAAGCTCTTTGGTTCCACCCTATCAGCACCGCTCCGTGGTTCCACCCCCCTACCCATCTCTGAGCACCGCTCCTTGGTTCCACCCCTACCCACCTCTGAGCACCGCTCCGTAGTTCCACCCCCTACCCACCTCTGAGCACCGCTCCTTGGTTCCACCCCCTACCCACCTCTGAGCACCGCTCCGTAGTTCCACCCCCTACCCACCTCTGAGCACCGCTCCGTAGTTCCACCCCCTACCCACCTCTGAGCACCGCTCCGTGGTTCCACTTCCCTACCCACCTCTGAGCACTACTCCTTGGTTCCACCCCTACCCACCTCTGAGCACCGCTCCGTAGTTCCACCCCCTACCCACCTCTGAGCACCGCTCCTTGGTTCCACCTCCTAGCCACCTCTGAGCACCACTCCTTGGTTCCACCTCCTAGCCACCTCTGAGCACCACTCCTTGGTTCCACCCTCTACCGACCTATCAGCACCGCTCCTTGGTTCCACCCCCTACCCAAATCTGAGAACCGCTCCAAGGTTCCCACCCCCCTACCCATCTCTGAACACTACTCCTTGGTTCCACCCCCTACCCACCTCTGAGCGCCACTCCTTGGTTCCACCCCCTACCCACCTCTGAGCACCGCTCCATGGTTCCACCCCCCTACCCACCTCTGAGCACTACTCCTTGGTTCCACCCCCTACCCACCTCTGAGCACCACTCCTTGGTTCCACCCCTTACCCACCTCTGAGCACCGCTACTTGGTTCCACCCCCTACCCACCTCTGAACACCACTCCTTGGTTCCACCCCCCACCCACCTCTGAGCACCGCTCCTTGGTTCCACCTCCTACCCACCTCTGAGCACCACTCCTTGGTTCCACTCCCCTACCCACCTCTGATTACCGCTCCTTGGTTCTACCCACCTCTGAGAACCGCTCTGTGGTTCCACCCCCCTACCCACCTCTGAACACTACTCCTTGGTTCCACCCCCTACCCACCTCTGAACACTACTCCTTGGTTCCACCCCCTACCCACCTCTGAACACTACTCCTTGGTTCCACCCCCTACCCACCACTGAGCACCGCTCCGTGGTTCCACCCCCCTATCCATCTCTGAGCACCACTCCTTGGTTCCACCCCCTACCCACCTCTGAACACTACTCCTTGGTTCCACCCCCTACCCACCTCTGAGCACCGCTCCGTGGTTCCACCCCCTATCCACCTCTGAGCACTGCTCCTTGGTTCCACCTCCTACCCCCCTCTGATTACCGCTCCTTGGTTCCACCCCCTACTCACCTCCCAGTACTTCTCCTTTTACAGAACCAAGTATCATTTTGTGGTGCTAAATAATTTGTAAGGAATTTGTTAATGATAACAAGAAAACCAGGACAACCAGGATAATTGTTATAAAGTTCTTTTTTCCTGGACAGAGGAGCCTGAAATGGCCAACAATGTGACAGAAGAATATTCGGCACTGCATGGACGCACCTTCAGAAGTCTGGTCAGCTTGCTGTCTCGGTAGTTGACGTATTTGTTCCCTCCTCTGTCGCTCAGAGCGTTGATACAGTTCCCGAGAGCCAGCAGAGACCGGTTGATGTGAGCCCCCTCCTTCATCCTCTGTCCTCGGTTCTGAGTCTGCATTACAAGCAAGTGACAGTTAGGGGTCTATATATAGGGCAGCACAGGGGCTAAATGGTTAGCATTTCTGCCTGGCAGGACTCGGATCGTCAGTTCAAATCCCAACCACAGCACCACCTGACTGGAGCCTGCATGCTCTCCCTGTGTCTGCACGGGCTTCCTCCAGGTACTCCGGTTTCCTCCCACACTCCAAAGACATGCTGGTAGGATAATTGGCTCCTGTCTAAATTGGCCCTTGTATGTGTATGCATGAATGTCAGTTAGGGACCTTATCATAGGTTCACGCCCAAGCATGTTCTGCAGCGTCTTGCATTTTGCAGAAACACAGTCCATGTCACATGACTTCCTATGGGACAGGTTCACATCTCTGCGTTTTCACCCGCTGCGTTTTTTCGAAAGGCTCAGGGACTTTTTTAACGCAAAACGTTGCATTTTTGGTTCTATAGACTTCAATGGGAACGCCACAGAAAAGCATGGATTGTGTTTCTGCTGCATTGTGCATTTAAAATTTGCCTAGCAACAGGAAAAAAAAAAAAAAAAAAAAAAAAAAAAAAAAAAACGCATCAAAAATGCGTCAAGAATGCAAAACGCAATGCAGAAATGCATCAAACGCAACCTGCATAAGTGTGAACCTAGACCTTAGACTGTAGGCTCCTCGGGGGCGGGGACTGATGTGAATGTACTATATATATATATATATATATATGTAAAGCGCTGTGTAAATTGACGGCGCTATATAAGTACCTGGAATAAATAAACCATTATTTTTTTCTTTTATTAGAAGCGCTTCTTTCTGATTGGATAACACTTGAAACCAGTGGCGTCCCTAGGCAGCTGCGGGGGATGCGCGCCGCACCGGGTGACACCTATCGCACGTGGTGACACCGGACCCGCTCCATGAAAAGGTAAGTTTTAAAGCAAGGGGGCCGTCATTCTCATCCTTATCGCCTGCAGCATCCTAGTCCGTATGCCAAAAAAGCGATGTTTCAAGCAGGGGCGGCCCTAGGGTTGGTGTCACCCGGTGCAATAACACTTGGTGTCACCCCTCCGATGAACCCCGCAGGATGGATTGGATCTGCGGATTGAGCATAATGGATCGGAGTCCGATCCATTATGCTCCCCAATCCGCAGATCCGATCCATCCTGCGGGGCTCGTCGGCTTTCTTTAAAACGTACCTATTCGTGGCGAGATCAGTTAACCCCGTATAGGTTGCAAGCCGACAATCCCCGCAGGATGGATCGGATCTGCGGATTGGGGAGCATAATGGATCCGACTCCGATCCATTATGCTCAATCTGCGGATCCCATCCATCCTGCGGGGATCGTCGGAGGGGGTGACACCAAATATTATCGCCCTGGGTGACACCAACCCTAGGGACGCCCCTGCTTGAAACGTCACTTTTTATTGGGGAGCATAATGGATCGGGCTGATCCATTATGCTCAATCCGCAGATCCGATCCATCCTGCGAGGTTCGTCGAAGGGGGTGTCACCAACCCTAGGGCCGCCCCTGCTTGAAACATCACTTTTTTGGCATCAGGACTAGGATGCTGCAGGCGATAAGGATGAGAATGACAGAGCCCCCCGAGGGTCGCACATGAAGGCAGCTGGGAGCCCCCCATAATCCCGAACTGACAAGCTTCCCATAATTGGAACGCCAACTACGTTGTACTTCCACCAGAGACCCGCTAGGTGGCGCTACCATCCAATAGAAGTCCCAGCACCAGGCTGAGGGATGATGGCCCCGCAGCAGCGAGAGTCGCCTTTTGTCCTCGGCTGGGTTTCAGGTTACCAATAAAATAGCAGCTTCATTATAAGCCTCAAAGGCGCTCGTTAGGGACAAAGACGGAGAAGATTCGGCGCGGCCTTTTTATAGCCGGAGATGTTACATACGGTATACGCTTTCTGGATCACGCCCACGGGAGGAGAACGCCGCACACGGAATAAAACAAAGAGAAACACCAGAAAAGTAGACCTTGTGCCACAAAGGAAGATTCCCTTTTTTCCCCCCCATCAGGCCTCCCCAAAAGCCAGAACTAGGGGCGGACTGACCATTTGGAAACTCGGGCAATGCCGAGGGCCCGGGGTCAGTATGGGGCCCCATGAGATGCCCCTGGTACCCTTTTTCATAGGCTTTTTTGAGTTTGGGCAAGGACACAGGGGCCCCATGATCCCCTATTGCCCAGGGGCCCCATGAGTTGTCAGTCCGCCCCTGGCCAGAAGACAAAAAAAAAAAAAAAAAAATGAGTAAAAAGCAAAAAAAAAAATTTTGACTTCCACAAATTATCCTTCCAACGAGATCCCGGGGAACCCCTGAGCACCCCAAATCTTATGAGGCGATGCTCCAGCATGTTGCGTCTTCTCCCGAGATCGGGGATCCTAATTGTGTCCTTTGATTAGAATAATTACACTGGGACACCGCAGGGGGGCGAACGGGGGGGGCAGCTAGGAACCCGAATATGCCCCTGTAGGGGCATAAAGGGGCGGACTGACCATTGGGGAACTCGGGCACTGCTGAGGGCCCAGGGTCAGTAGAGGGCCCCATGAGATGTCCCTGGTACCTTTCATAGGCTTTTTGGGTGTGGTTTGAGTGTGGGCGAGGACACAGGGGCCCCATGAGTTGTCAGTCCGCCCCTGCCCTGTATCTATGGGGGTCCCTGGCTATGTGCTTGTTTTTTCAGGGTGGTGCAGTTACAGCAGAACACCAGCCAAAGGTTTCAGCAAATCATTAAAAAATTTAATTCCAAACCAGCAAAATGTTCCCCTTCAGTCCAAAAAGTTCCCCTGCAGTACTGTTTCCTGCCACTAGATGTCCTTGGTTTCATGGTCTGATGGACACACCCATGGTCTGTGACTGGACAGTGAAAGGAGAAGCAGCGCAGTGGTGATCTCATCTCTATGTCACTCTGCTCTCTCCTATCAGTATGCTTCTTGACAGCACGCAAGCTGATTGGCTACTTGAGCTGCTTCTTCCTCTCACACTCCAGCCCTGCGGTCAAAGGGCAAGAGGCTGAAACCAGGTCACATTCAGGCATTATTTGTTCCCCTCCCCCAACCTATGACTAGACAATGAAGAAAGAAGCAGCAGAATGATGAGCTCATCTCTCTCTACATTACTTTGCTCTCTGTCTATCAGCATACATCTACCCTGCCTCAAGCGGGACCCATAAAATTATACATGTAACAATGGCCCCAGGCCGGCATTGCGGTTTAGGGGTCTCCAAACTGCGGCTTGAAGCTTGGATGTGGCCCTTTGCTAGCCTCTATCCAGTCCTTGGGGCACGGTTCCTCCCAATGACACCAACAAAGGGAGAAATTTCTTCTAGTGATACCAATGATGAGGCCCTATCCTCCCACTGACACCAATGATGGAGCACTATTCCTCCCACTGACACCAATGATGGGGCACTATTCCTCCCACTGACACCAATGATGGGGCACTATTCCTCCCACTGACACCAATGATGGGGCACTATTCCTCCCACTGACACCAATGATGGGGCACTACTCCTCCCACTGACACCAATGATGGGGCACTATTCCTCCCACTGACACCAATGATGGGGCACTATTCCTCCCACTGACACCAATGATGAGGCACTATTCCTCCCACTGACACCAATGATGGGGCACTATTCCTCCCACTGACACCAATGATGAGGCACTATTCCTCCCACTGACACCAATGTTGGAGCACTATTCCTCCCACTGACACCAATGATGGGGCACTATTCCTCCCACTAAAACCAATGATGGGGCACTATTCCTTCCACTGATACCAATGATGGGGCACTATTCCTCCCACTGACACCAATGATGGGGCACTATTCCTCCCACTGACACCAACGATGGGGCACTATTCCCCCCACTGATACCAATGATGGGGCACTATTCCTCCCACTGACACCAATGATGGGGCACTATTCCTCCCACTGATACCAATGATGGGGCACTATTCCTCCCACTGACACCAATGATGGGGCACTATTCCTCCCCCTGACACCAATGATGGGGCACTATTCCTCCCACTGACACCAATGATGGGGCACTATTCCTGCCACTGACACCAATGATGGGACACTATTCCTCCCACTGACACCAATAATGGGACACTATTCCTCCCACTGACACCAATGATGGGGCACTATTCCTCCCACTGACACCAATGATGGGGCACTATTCCTCCCACTGACACCAATGATGGGGCACTATTCCTCCTACTGACACCAATGATGGGGCACTATTCCTCCCACTAACACCAATAATGGGACACTATTCCTCCCACTGACACCAATGATGGGGCACTATTCCTCCCACTGACACCAATGATGGGGCACTATTCCTCCCACTGACACCAATGATGGGACAAGGGGTGGGCAGGAGGGGCAGCTGCCCTGGGCACAGCAGAGCAAGTAGGCAGAGAATGAGCACAGGGTGGTACATTCATTCTACAATATGTATTATCAGTGGGGGAGGGGGTACAGTTCTACATCCTTGCCCTGGGTGCTGGATGAACCTCTCCCTGTACTGCCAGCCAGATACCTGTACCATGAGCCTCCAGGCCAAATCCCCAACGGGCTGACTCTGAACGGACTTACTCTAGACACAGGCCCTTCAGCTCTCCCTGACCTGGGACCTCAATGAACTCCTACAGACTTCAGCTACACTGCCCAGAAGGGCATCAGGCTGGATCTTCTCCTCCAGGACCAGAACCCTCCTATTCCAGGCCCCAGCCAGTCATTGTCTCCCCTCCCCCGAGGAATTGGCTGAGGCTGTATGATTCTGCAGGTCTAGCCCACTACATTCTAGAAGTCACTAGAAGATGGAGAAGTAGTTGAGCTGAACCCAACAAGACCCAGAAGAGCCAAAAGTAATCAAACTGCTCCACTGGCTACATTACAACCCAAACAAACAAAAAAAAAAAAAGAAAAAGAACAAAAATAATATGAACACTGCAGTACCTGGGAAGCCCTCTCTGACCCGGCCAGGTCTATCATGAACAGTCTTCCCATTCGCACCTCCTGAGTGATGTTCTTGATGCGACTTTTCTGTCTCACGGTGACTTGGAGGATGGCATGTGACCGCGATGAGGTTTTATTGGCTGCCGTAGGTTCCTGGGTCCTCTGCTTGTTCCCTTTCATCAGCAGCTGCATGATCTATGAGAAGAGGAAAGGTCAGAACTTGTCCAACCGCGATTACAATGTCACTCGTAGATTAGCCATTCTCAGCCAGAGGTCCTCCAGACATTTCCGACTTTGGAAGATTAAATTCCACATTTAACAGCATAATATCAGGGGCAACGGCACTTGGCAGAGCCAGCAGGCGGACATCTTTGTTAGCTGTCTGCAGAGATTGCACCACCAATGTAAGGGACATTCTTCCCACTGACCCCCCAATGTAAGGAGCATTCTTCCCACTGACCCCCAATGTAAGGGACATTCTTCCCACTGACCCCCAATGTAAGGGACATTCTTCCCACTGACCCCCCAATGTAAGGGACATTCTTCCCACTGACCCCCAATGTAAGGAGCATTCTTCCCACTGACCCCCAATGTAAGGGACATTCTTCCCACTGACCCCCAATGTAAGGGACATTCTTCCCACTGACCCCCAATGTAAGGGACATTCTTCCCACTGACCCCCAATGTAAGGGACATTCTTCCCACTGACCCCCCAATGTAAGGAGCATTCTTCTCACTGACCCCCAATGTAAGGGACATTCTTCCCACTGACCCCCAATGTAAGGGACATTCTTCCCACTGACCCCCCAATGTAAGGGACATTCTCCCCACTGATCACCAATGTAAGGGACATTCTTCCCACTGACCCCCAATGTAAGGGACATTCTTCCCACTGACCCCCAATGTAAGGGACATTCTTCCCACTGACCCCCAATGTAAGGGACATTCTTCCCACTGACCCCCCAATGTAAGGAGCATTCTTCTCACTGACCCCCAATGTAAGGGACATTCTTCCCACTGACCCCCAAATGTAAGGGACATTCTTCCCACTGACCCCCAATGTACGGGACATTCTTCCCACTGACCCCCCAATGTAAGGGACATTCTTCCCACTGACCACCAATGTAAGGGACATTCTTCCCACTGACCACCAATGTAAGGGACATTCTTCCCACTGACCCCCAATGTAAGGAGCATTCTTCCCACTGACCCCCAATGTAAGGAGCATTCTTCCCACTGACCCCCCAATGTAAGGGACATTCTTCCCACTGACCCCCCAATGTAAGGGACATTCTTCCCACTGACCCCCAATGTAAGGGACATTCTTCCCACTGACCCCCAATGTAAGGGACATTCTTCCCACTGACACCAATGTAAGGGACATTCTTCCCACTGACCCCCAATGTAAGGGACATTCTTCCCACTGACCCCCAATGTAAGGGACGTTCTTCCCACTGACCCCCAATGTAAGGGACATTCTTCCCACTGACCCCCAATGTAAGGGACATTCTTCCCACTGACACCAATGTAAGGGACATTCTTCCCACTGACCCCCAATGTAAGGGACATTCTTCCCACTGATCACCAATGTAAGGGACATTCTTCCCACTGACCCCCAATGTAAGGGACATTCTTCCCACTGACCCCCAATGTAAGGGACATTCCTCCCACTGACCCCCCAATGTAAGGGACATTCTTCCCACTGGCCCCCAATGTAAGGGACATTCTTCCCACTGACCACCAATGTAAGGGACATTCTTCCCACTGACCCCCCAATGTAAGGGACATTCTTCCCACTGACCCCCCAATGTAAGGGACATTCTTCCCACTGACCCCCAATGTAAGGGACATTCTTCCCACTGACCCCCAATGTAAGGGACATTCTTCCCACTGACCACCAATGTAAGGGACATTCTTCCCACTGACCCCCAATGTAAGGGACATTCTTCCCACTGACCCCCAATGTAAGGGACATTCTTCCACTGACCCCCAATGTAAGGGACATTCCTCCCACTGACCACCAATGTAAGGGACATTCTTCCCACTGATCACCAATTTAAGGGACATTCTTCCCACTGACCCCCAATGTAAGGGACATTCTTCCCACTGACCACCAATGTAAGGGACATTCTTCCCACTGACCACCAATGTAAGGGACATTCTTCCCACTGACCCCCAATGTAGGAGGAGCATTCTTCCCACTGACCCCCAATGTAAGGAGCATTCTTCCCACTGACCCCCCAATGTAAGGGACATTCTTCCCACTGACCCCCCAATGTAAGGGACATTCTTCCCACTGACCCCCAATGTAAGGGACATTCTTCCCACTGACCCCCAATGTAAGGGACATTCTTCCCACTGACACCAATGTAAGGGACATTCTTCCCACTGACCCCCAATGTAAGGGACATTCTTCCCACTGACCCCCAATGTAAGGGACGTTCTTCCCACTGACCCCCAATGTAAGGGACATTCTTCCCACTGACCCCCAATGTAAGGGACATTCTTCCCACTGACCCACCATGTAAGGGACATTCTTCCCACTGACCCCCAATGTAAGGGACATTCTTCCCACTGATCACCAATGTAAGGGACATTCTTCCCACTGACCCCCAATGTAAGGGACATTCTTCCCACTGACCCCCCAATGTAAGGGACATTCCTCCACTGACCCCCCAATGTAAGGGACATTCTTCCCACTGGCCCCCAATGTAAGGGACATTCTTCCCACTGACCACCAATGTAAGGGACATTCTTCCCACTGACCCCCCAATGTAAGGGACATTCTTCCCACTGACCCCCCAATGTAAGGGACATTCTTCCCACTGACCCCCCAATGTAAGGGACATTCTTCCCACTGACCCCCAATGTAAGGGACATTCTTCCCACTGACCCCAATGTAAGGGACATTCTTCCCATTGACCCCCAATGTAAGGGACATTCTTCCCACTGACCCCCAATGTAAGGGACATTCTTCCACTGACCCCCCAATGTAAGGGACATTCTTCCCACTGACCACCAATGTAAGGGACATTCTTCCCACTGACCCCCCAATGTAAGGGACATTCTTCCCACTGACCCCCCAATGTAAGGGACATTCTCCCACTGACCCCCCAATGTAAGGGACATTCTTCCCACTGACCCCCCAATGTAAGGGACATTCTTCCCACTGACCCCCCAATGTAAGGGACATTCTTCCCACTGACCACCAATGTAAGGGACATTCTTCCCACTGACCCCCCAATGTAAGGGACATTCTTCCCACTGACCCCCCAATGTAAGGGGACATTCTTCCCACTGACCCCCAATGTAAGGGACATTCTTCCCACTGGCCCCCAATGTAAGGGACATTCTTCCCACTGACCACCAATGTAAGGGACATTCTTCCCACTGACCCCCCAATGTAAGGGACATTGTTCCCACTGACCCCCAATGTAAGGGACATTCTTCCCACTGACCCCCCAATGTAAGGGACATTCTTCCCACTGACCCCCAATGTAAGGGACATTCTTCCCACTGACCCCCAATGTAAGGGACATTCTTCCCACTGATCACCAATGTAAGGGACATTCTTCCCACTGACCACCAATGTAAGGGACATTCTTCCCACTGACCCCCAATGTAAGGGACATTCTTCCCATTGACCCCCAATGTAAGGGACATTCTTCCCACTGACCACCAATGTAAGGGACATTCTTCCCACTGACCCCCAATGTAAGGGACATTCTTCCCACTGACCCCCAATGTAAGGGACATTCTTCCCACTGACCTCCAATGTAAGGGACATTCTTCCCACTGACCCCCCCAATGTAAGGGACATTCTTCCCACTGACCACCAATGTAAGGGACATTCTTCCCACTGACCCCCAATGTAAGGGACATTCTTCCCACTGACCACCAATGTAAGGGACATTCTTCCCACTGACCCCCAATGTAAGGGACATTCTTCCCACTGACCTCCAATGTAAGGGACATTCTTCCCACTGACCACCAATGTAAGGGACATTCTTCCCACTGACCCCCAATGTAAGGGACATTCTTCCCACTGACCACCAATGTAAGGGACATTCTTCCCACTGACCCCCAATGTAAGGGACATTCTTCCCACTGACCCCCAATGTAAGGGACATTCTTCCCACTGACCACCAATGTAAGGGACATTCTTCCCACTGACCACCAATGTAAGGGACATTCTTCCCACTGATCCCCAATGTAAGGGACATTTTTCCCACTGATCACCAATGTAAGGGACATTCTTCCCACTGACACCAATGTAAGGGACATTCTTCCCACTGACCCCCAATGTAAGGGATATTCTTCCCACTGACCCCCAATGTAAGGAGCATTTCTTTACTGATCATCAATGAATCTGTTAGTAAGGTTCCCCGAGACCTGAAAATGACTTCAAGAGTTCCTTTGGGGTAAAGTTTGAGGCTGATGTGTAATATTTTACCTCTTTAGCGTTGATGGTGGACACCTCTGTAATTCCGGCTACTTGGATTACACCCTTTGAGTCCTCTCGCAGGTCCAGGTAGCCCAGTGATGGGTTCAGTAGGTCCCGGATCATTTCATTGTAGATCTGTACATAGAAGAGAAGTGAAGGCATCAGCAGTCATAACTATCCAACACAACTAAAGCCGAGTATTTAGATGTATAAAGACAAACACTGAACTGCCCCCAAGGTGAGGAAAGCAGCTCCTGGCTATTCCAATGATGGTGTTCAGAGTTCAAGGTGAGCTCCAGCCTTCCCTTCAGTCTTGAAACAACTTACTGTGATGTCACCGGGAGCTTCTCACAATCTGCATTAGAAGCTGCAGCAAGTCAGATAGAGCTCCTCCCCATTTCCTGGCTGGAGGATGTCCAGCATCATCTAGACCTTTCCTCCCCAGCCTGACTGTCCCTTTCTCCACCCTTTTCATTCATTGGATTTCAGTTCTTTCAACCATGGAGGTTCAGGATCCCATGTACCTAGGGTGCAGCGGCGGACTGACCATTTGGAAACTCGGGCACTGCCCGAGGGCCTGGGGTCAGTAGGGGGCCCCATGAGATGCCCCTGTACCTTTTTCATAGGCTTCTTTGAGTTTGGGCAAGGACACAGGGGCCCCATGATCCCCTATTGCCCGGGGCCCCATGAGTTGTCAGTCCGCCCCTGCTAGGGTGGTCTGTATGCAAATACTGCCTGCCTAGGAATGCCCACTCCTCCAGGCTGACCACTCCTCCAGACTGACTTCCACCAATCTAGGCATTTTGATATTTGCATAACTCTTCCCTAGAGTCCGCCCACTGCTTACATCAGGACGTTTGAGAGGAGAACTGAGGCAAAGTGCTGTGATGTTTTCGGGCAACTATGTACAACACCCTTCAGGGATGAGAACAACGGACGAGGAAAACCAGATGAGGAGGATGGCATGAGTGGGATTGGAATAGCAGGATGGGATGAGGAGGACTAGATAAGGAGGACGGGAAGAGGAGGACGGGATGAGGACTGGAAGAGGAGGACGGGATGAGGACTGGATGAGGAGGACGGGAAGAGGAGGACGGGATGAGGAGGACAGGATGAGGAGGACAGGAGAGAGGAGGACGGGATGAGGAGGACGGGATGAGGAGAATTGGGTGAGGAACCAGTTCAGGAAAAGAAGATGGGCAAGATGGGATAAGATGGACCAGAATAGCAGGATGGGATGAGGAGAACAGGATGAGGAGGACAAGAAGAGGAGGACAGGGTGAGGAGAATGGGATGAGGAGTACAGGATTACAGGAGGAAGAGGACAGAATGAAGAGGAAGGTATGAGGAGGACAGGATGAGGAAAAGGACGGGATGAGAAGGAGGGGATGAAGAGGATGACATGAAGAGGATGAGATGAGGAGGACAAGATGATGAAGAGGATGGGATGAAGAGGACGGGATGAAGAGGACAGTATGAGAAGACGGGATGAAGAGGATGGAATGAAAAGTAGGGGATGAAGAAGACATGATGAAGAGGATGAGATGAAGAGGACGGGATGAAGAGGACGGGATGAAGAGGACAGGATGAAGAGGACAGGATGAGGAGGATATGATGAAGAGAACAGGGTGAGGAGGACATGATGAAGAGGGCGGGATGAAGAGTACGGGATGAAGAGTACGGGATGAAGAGTACGGGATGAAGAGGATAAGATGATGGGATCAGGAGGATGGGATGAGAGGAGGACATGATGAAGAGGACAGGATGAGGATGACATGATGAAGAGGACGGGATGAGGAGAACATGATGATGAGAATGGGATGAAGAAGAAAGGATGAAGAGTATGGGGTGAAGAGGACAGGAAGAGGAGGACATGATGAACAGGACAGGATGAAGAGGATGAGGAGGATATGATGAAGAGGACGGGATGAAGAGGACGGGATGAAGTGGACAGGATGAAGTGGACAGGATGAAGAGGACGGGATGAAGAGGACAGGATGAAGAGGACGGGATGAAGAGGACATGATGGGTAGGATGGGATCAGGAGGACATGATGGGTAGGATGGGATCAGGAGGACATGATGAAGAGGATGGGATGAAGAGGATGGGATGAGGAGGACATGGTGATGAGGATGGGATGAGGAGGAAATGATGAAGAGAACAGGATGAAGAGGAAGGGATGAACAGGAGGGGATGAGGAAAACGGAATGAGGAGGACGGGATGTGGAGGATGGGATTAAAAGGATGGGATGTGGAGGATGGGATGAGGAAGACAGGATGAAGAGGACGGGATGAGGAGGATGGGATGTGGAGGATGGGATGAAAAGGACGGGACGTGGAGGACGGGACGTGGAGGACGGGACGTGGAGGACGGGACGTGGAGGACGGGATGTGGAGGATGGGACGAGGAGGATGGGATGAAGAGGACAGCATGAAGAGGATGGGATGTGGAGGACGGGATGTGGAGGACGGGATGTGGAGGACGGGACGTGGAGGACGGGACGTGGAGGACGGGATGTGGAGGATGGGACGAGGAGGATGGGATGAAGAGGACAGCATGAGGAGGATGGGATGTGGAGGACGGGATGTGGAGGACGGGATGTGGAGGACGGGATGTGGAGGACGGGATGTGGAGGATGGGATGTGGAGGACGGGATGTAAAGGATGGGATGAAAACAACGTGATGTGGTTGGCAGCTCCAGAGCCATGTTTTTTCCATCTATTAATACAGGTTCACTTGAACAGCTGCTTGTCCTTTAAAAAAGAAAAAGTCGTCCCTTTATCTGCGGAATGGGATCAGTGTTTGAGGGATTCTGTATCCTGGCCGGGGACACTCTGACGGCACAGAATAGGCAAGTGGCATCGGCGCGGCGGTAACACGACCTGACATGTGTTTACTTCCATTCTCATTTTACACTGATTTCTTGTCCCAGGTCCCTGTTTTCCGGCTCGGTTGCTCCAGAGCGCGTCGTGAGCAAATATTGCACAGACCATAAAGAACCAACGATGACGGGCGTAACAGAAGAGATACGGACGCAAAGCCTGACTCCAGCCGTCGCCATGGCGATTATCTGCCCCGCTCGCCAGGATTTTGCGGCCAAGCGAATTGTAAATGTTATCAGGTCTTCTGGAGAAACGAGGAGAGCTGGCAGAAGGGACTCGGGAGCAGGCAAGCTATAGGCGTGTGCTTATCAAGATAAATTCGATCCGAGGATCGCGGTATAGGTACAGCGTGTCCTTCTGATGAAGAGCTTTCAGCCGAATACAATGTACCCATCACTGGGTGTCGCAAGAGCCGGATGGTTAAAGGGGAGCTCCATTGGAGGGTGTCCAAATCACAACATACAACTAGGGGTTGGCAAAGCGGTAAAAGTCAATATGGCGTCGGCCAGTTCTTCCTTAAAGCAGTTATATCCACCTGTAGACCATTTCAATAACAACGTATCCAACTTCCGCCACATGAAAAAATCTATCCAACGTATCAAAACATATCCAATGTACCAAATTGTATCCAATGTATCAAAACATATCCAACGTATCAAATTGTATCCAACGTATCAAAACATATCCAATGTACCAAATTGTATCCAATGTATCAAAACATATCCAACGTATCAAAACATATCCAATGTACCAAATTGTATCCAATGTATCAAAACATATCCAACGTATCAAATTGTATCCAACGTATCAAAACATATCCAATGTACCAAATTTTATCCAATGTACCAAAACATATCCAAAGTATGTATGAAGCAAAGAAAAGTCAATACAGTGTGGGTCAGTACTTCCTTAGGCCCCATTTACCTTTGAGCCCATTGGAATCGCAGGCAGAAACGCACGATTCTGCTTGTGATTCCAGAATGGGGGCAAAATGTGATACGCACAAACGAGGAACAATTTTTGCCGCAATTCTTGCACGACACCAAAGGCACCTGGCTCGGTGCCAAAATATAGAACATGAACTTCTTCGGCTTGTTTTTGGAGCAGAGAGCGGCCCAATCAAAATGATTAGTGCCACTCCACAAATGTGCAATCAATGGCTTTCTGGAACCATCAATGAGCTTCTTCCACCTCTCTCCTGGAATTTGAATCGCTCTTCTTCCACCAAGTGCTCCGGGTCCCTCAGATTGGAAGGGTTCCTTTCCCCAACATCACAAACTTGGAGTGCAATTATTATTAATTATTTTTGGCATTTTGCGTGGAATGAGTCAGATTTGTCTCTTTTGTTTCTCTACTTTTTTGTGTCATACCAATACAAAACTAAAGAAATAAACACGAGAATGCTGAAATGTGAATGGCAACAATTTTTTTGGTGAAGTGGTGTGTTATCTGACAGAAATGCGGGGGGGGGGGGGGCAAGAATGTTGTTGGAACCTCTGAGCATCGTCCCTTGGTTCCACCCCCTACCCACCTCTGAACAATGTACCTTGGTTCCACCCCCTACCCACCTCCGAACAATGTCCCTTGGTTCCACCCCCTACCCACCTCCGAACAATGTCCCTTGGTTCCACCCCCTAGACACCTCTGAACACTGTCCGTTGATTGTACCCCCTACCCACCTCTGAGCACTGTGTCTTAGTTCCACCCCCTATCCACCTCTGAGCACTGTGTCTTAGTTCCACCCCCTACCCACCTCTGAGCACTGTGTCTTAGTTCCACCCCCTACCCACCTCTGAGCACTGTGTCTTAGTTCCACCCCCTACCCACCTCTAAACACTGTCCCTTGTTCCACCCCTATCCACTTTTGAGCACTGTGTCTTAGTTCCACCCCCTACCCACCTCTGAACACTGTTCCTTGGTTCCACCCCCTACCCACCTCTGAGAACTGTCTCTTGGTTCCACCCCCTACCCACCTCTGAGCACTGTCCCTTGGTTCCACCGCCTACCCACCTCTGAACGCTGTCTCTTAGTTCCACCCCCTACCCACCTCTGAACACTGTCTCTTAGTTCCCCCCTACCCACCTCCCAGTACTGTCCTTTTAGAGAATACAGAACCAAGTATCATTTTGTGCTATTAAATAATTTATATGGAATTCGTTCATGATAAGAAAGACAGTAAAATAGACCCCCCTGCAGTGAGCAACAATAGACCCCATCCCAGCAACAGCAGCCCCCCCACAACAAAATACCACCCAGCAGCAATAATAGACTTCTCCCTC